AATAATCGAGTCTGAACCAGACAAATAAAGTGATCAACATCATGAGCATCGGTCTATGCAATTGGGAACCGATGACATGTGTCAACCAAGTCAGCGAACCTGACCACCCAATCCCGTCAGTCGCCGCTTACGACAAGCATGGGTTACTGAAGACAAATTCTAACCCCGGATCTTCAGGGGTCGCAACAAGAAGTGATGTGGATGAGTGATTGAGTTAAAGTGTAACGTTCACCAGCAATGTTTCTGCTATATAGCGACGAGACCAAATTTACACGCGATACGATGGCATGTGTCAACCATGTCATCAAGCCTGACCATACGATCCCGTTAGTCGCCTTTCGGGACAAGCATGGGTTGCTGAAAAACAATTCGAACCATCTCCTCATGGGCAACAAAACAATACTAATTAGGAGATAAACCTACTGTGTGGGAAAATCAGAGGTATATAACGAAATTATAATAGCTCTAATTTGTTCATTTAAAACCTCACGCTACGCGTTCGGTTTTAAATGAAATTTAGAGCTATTATAATTTCATAATTGTTCATTTAAAATTTAAAATTTCATAATTGTTCGGTTTTAAATGAAATTTAGAGCAATTATAGTTTCGTTATATACCTCTGATTTTCCCACACAGCAGGTTTATCTCCATTCTACCATGACAATCTTATGAACAATTTCAGTTGGAACTCTTTCTTTGGTTGCGAGTGAATACGTGAAGCGGCCTCGCATTCCAATCTCAAGTGGCATCGCCCGAAACGGGGTGATTGGTGGGAAACCGTCAATAACTAACAAACTCCAGATTCAGTAATAACAAATCACGATTTGTTTTTTCAATGCATTAATCACCAATCATTAACTGATAAGTTGGAAAACATATATCAAATAAGTTTAAAAAGCTTGGTTCACATTTGAAAATTCCACCGTAGACCCTTTCCCCACCAGAATAATGGCAGCAACCTCATGGCCTTGACCTTTTCTCTGAAGTCATTGTTTACATTTACGTGCAAATTTGGAAAGATGCGACAGGAGAGCCTCTGACAGTTTGCGCAAGGTTAACCTGATTGTATGACTGAGATAGTCTTTGATATCTAATTACTGGTACTAAAGTACTGTCGGAAATGCTAGAAAAAATGCTTTTTGACTTATATTTAAAATTCAGAGGTATTACAGCTCCTTAAATAACAAATATCACTTTAAGAAACATCTACCTAATGTAGACCGAGGGAATAAATGTTGAGACATGCCCTAAAATGCGTTTTTACTGATGAAAATACCCAAAACTTAGAAAAATAAGGGGTAGTGGGACGTTATTTGATACAAACATTAACTGCCTGTGTTACGTCATCAGCATGCATGGTATCGACAGGTGAAATTGACACCTGAGCACACGCTCGGGCGAGGGGTCATCTCAATAGATGTTTTCTTCAAAATGTTGAATATGTGTACGTATAGTATACGTATTGGTTATGTAAGGGATCATTTGTGTATGTGCGATTGTTTTGAAATAAACATACGAATTACTGTACATTGGAAAGAATCCTATCACTTGTGTTATCTTATTGATTGATTGTAGAAATGTGCAACGTTTTAAGAAATGTTTTGCATGTCAACATTATATTTCATTGCAAAAATATGGATGTAATTCGGTCAGTTTAATCTAGTTGTGAACATTGGCCAAAGATTTAACGAAGTCACTGGTGTAGCCTCTTTAGAATATATATATTCTTCTTCTCCTAAAGTTTGTAGACCGCCCGTCTAAGTACTCCCTTGTCAAAGTTGTCAAGGATGGTTTTACGTCCCGGTTTTGCTTTTGAGAGGGCCCCTGTCTTGTCTGATTTGTTACAATATTGTAAACTTGTTGGTAAGACATACCAACAGCTCTACAAGTTCTGTATTAAACCATTTCTATACTAATGAAAGGTTTACCTCTGTCTTTTTCAAGCACAAAAAACGTATAACCCTTTGCAACAATCGTCTGCAAATAGTTGACCATAGTCGACGCTGTGATAAAAATGTGCATGCATGACGGGAAACATATTTACCAAGACTTAACATTTATATTAATTTTTCTTCAATAAAGGAACGATAATTAAGTAAAGTAACACAAACATTCAGCATCTATTTGTTTAAGAAAAACGTTAATTTATATTTTTACACCACCTGTATTATTAGCATAAATGTAGAGACTATTTCAGATTTCTGTTGTTGAACTCTGAAAAAATCTGAAGTTGTTGTTTTGGTACCAAATTTTCTCCTGTAAACTGCCCTTTAAATGCATGGGAATGTTAAATCAATTGAAATAAAAATTAGGTACACTATAGGTGAGTTGATGTATTGACAACATGTTACATTTATCACCTCTCTAAAGATATTAAGGCTAAAAAGCATTTTTCTAGCATTTCCGACAGTACTTTAGTACAAAATTTAAGAGTAGAGGCGCTTTTGCTGTAATGAAAAGTCCGTGTTGTACCGAATTTAGATACTGTTGAATTTGGTGCCCTGTCAACTTGACGATTTCACGTACCTCTATGTCTGCGTGCGACAGCTGTGGTGACTCTTACACACTCATGTGTGTACTTTGTGCTCAAATTCGATTCTACGGATATTATTTTCTACATTTTGGAAAGTGTTTTGTGACCTAGTGGCTTCAAAGTGTAGTGAATTCAAATTGAATCGGATTCGCTGGCATGTTCGCGAGGCTGTTGACAAAGAGCCAGATTTGTGGTGATATTTCCGAAGGATGGAACAGGACCATCCTCGATAATCTCCAGGGTATACGTTACGATCACTCTTCACTATACCCTGGATGCATCCACGGCTTGGCTCGATAATTATATTACCTCCCTTTGCTGGCTCCGCATTCTCACAGTAGCCAATCAGCTAAGCCGCCGTTACATCCGAGCTTGCCAGTGTCAACAAAGATAGCGGTCGCAGTCGCGAAGGTTTGTTCGCAGTGACACTCAGATTTTTGGGGAAATCATACAGACAAATTTACAGATCTGAAACTTTAAAAAAATATATGAAAGAACTGCTTCTACCTTTTTCAGAGTACCTCTGCATCAATTGTGTTGCCAAGTTTAAACGGGTAGACAATTTAAGAAGCGAAAGTGGGTTGTGATTGGTTCGCTCAACTTCCCAGGTAAGACACCTGATTGGATAAAAAAGCCAGCAAAGGGAGGTAATGAAATCATCGGGCCAAGTTGAGATGCATCCAGGTATAGTGAAGAGGATCGTAACATATACCTCTGGATTACCGAGGATCGAGGAAACAGGACAGTAGGGTGTACCTTAATAACACGGTAAGGTAATTAAGACTACTTTAATAGACTACAGATCAGTGTAATGGATAAGAGGGATCATGAGTAAGCTAAATAATTTTCTCAACGATATTATACTTTTAGAAAAAAATATTTTGGGCTATACAGAACGGTTTGCAGATTCTGTATTTGTGTTTTACTACCGCTACATTTGAAACAGTACAAATTTCTCAAAAATTTATTCATTTTGTTTGAATTGATAACCAAACTGTTTATTTATGTGGACGGAAGGCATTAAAATTTCTTCGGCGTTCGATGTTAATGCATGCTCCGTTACCGGATCAAGATCAGTGGCGATATCGTTGACAAAAGCTGATAATAAATTCAATACGGAAATGATGTAGCAGTCTCTTGCTTAATCTAATTTGACACAACATAGAATCAACGTAAACATATTTTTCTTGCTGAATTTGTATTCGGAAAGCAGACGATGTTTTGATCTTGTTCGACTGAATATTTGTTTCCATGCTTTCGAAGTACTATTGCTGTGATTTACGCAAGTAGTGAGTCGAGCCCGTCATCGCTAAATCCATTTTTAAGACATATGTGTAGTTTCCGCAAGCGTCGATCAAGAGTGCCCCATAGATGTTCAGTGGGGGACAAATCGGGTGATCGAGAAGGCCAAGGTAACACCTGAACATTGTTTTGCTGGAGGAAGTCCTGTCACACACGTGCAACGTGAGCTCGAGCATTGTCATGCGCCAAAGATCAACCGTTGACCTTGATGAAGGGAACGACGTACCGTTGAACTGGTCTACTGGCAAACATTCTGGCTTCCCATAGCCAACTGCACACTGTCTGGTCGGAGATTCGGCGCAGTCCCGGGATTTGGATTGTTGTGGATGAAGCGGCCGAGGTGTTTGAACGAAGATGTCTCAACCGGATGTAGCGACCTAGGGCGTCGGTGGTAACTCTAGGTCGACCTTACCTGGGTCTGTCATTAACACTCACAGTATTCTATCGGGTCCATAGGTTTGAGATGGTCAGTCTGGACACGCTTAAGTGCCTTGCCACCTCATGCTGCGATGTCCGTCCTTGTAAACGACCGATGGCGTTGTGTCGTTGAGCTTCTGTCAGTGTTTTCATTCTCTTGTCGTCTATCGTGGCTTAAAGCAATGCATGTGGAGTACTATTGATGTGGCTTCTTAAAGCCTACAATCATAGGCCTCAGCTCAGGTGATACACAATTTCATGATGCACGTGTTCATGGAGGGTTTCGTTTTAGCGATTCACTACAGACGTGAGTGTAACGTTACGTTTTTGTTCAACGTTCCTTTTTTTAAAAGTTTTGTCGTCGGCAACCATTCCCCCATATGTTGGGATTCAGCATTGACTGGTTTAAATATTTTCAAATATTTTCCTAAAATTCAAATCTGTCCTATGTACAGTTTCTTTTTGTGAAGAGTTTACATGAATTATGCCTTACGCTAAATATATTCTGCTGGCCTGTAAATTCAGTTGATTGACGGCAAGTGTTTGATTTCACGAATAAAACCCATGTCGCTGGGGAACGATGTCCGTTTAGGTAAGCTATTGGAACAACCCCATCCCTTAGAGTCTGTATCATAAGCAAAGATTTTGGGGACCTCTACATGACCTATGTCCACAATATGGCTGCTGAAAATAGTAATTTACTTGTTGCCAATATTGTGTGTTTAACAAATTCGGTTGAAGCCATAGTTTAATCAAACGATCTCATTCTAACAGAAATGGCCACCGCCAAGAAGCTGACAGACAGCTATCTGACCTGTGTCATCTGTACAGAGGTGTTCACAGACCCTGCCACACTTCAGTGTAATCACACATTCTGTAAGTCTTGCCTGCTGAAATATACCAAAACACAGTCTGAAGCAATACAAGCCAAGTCCATCCCATGTCCCGCCTGTAGACAACAGACAAAGGTGACCAACCCTGACAGTCCAGTGAAGGAGTGGGTCAGTCATCTGAAACCAAGCCACGTCATACAGAGTCTGATGGACGATTTGGGGGGATCGCCAGGTGGGAAATTTTGAAACGTTTTTTTATGTTTTTTTTCACATGTCTCCAATGTACAGTGTATTCACAATGTACTATATCTTTATCAAACTGAAGTCTTTGCATTGACAAAAGCTTTATTTAAACGTTGTAGCCCATGCAGTGTACATAGGTCATAGTTGTAGCGAATAGCTAGGGTCTGTCTGTCTGTATACATATATGTGCATAATAGTAACTTGTATTAAGTGGATGTTTGACATGAATAGCAAAAATCATTCAAACAAGTTTTGGATTTTCAGATGTTGATGCATGTAGCGTGTGCAAAGAAGATGGCAAAACAACTCCAGGTACAATGTGGTGCACCATTTGTGAAGATATCTTCTGTGATGGGTGTCTCAAGTTCCACAAGAGGTTGTCACTAACACGTGATCATGAAGTGCTTGATGTACGTATCCATGGCAACAGGAAACCCAAAGTACGTAGCTTCATGTGCAGAATTCACAAGGACGAAACAATGAAACTGTTCTGTAAAGACTGCAGGATGGCAATATGTACTGTATGCTGCAGCATCAAACACCGGAAGTGTGATGATGTTGAGACCATAGATGCCATAATGCCTCTTGTCAAAGAAACTCTGCTCAATGAAACAAGGAATCAAGAGAAGAAGATACAAACTTACATTGACAATATTTCATTGACAAACTCGAAAATTGAAAAGCTGACAACTAGTGCACAAGAAATGAAAGATGAAGTTAGGAAAGTACGCATGGCGGCTACAGACGTTCTTGTGAGAAAGGAAAAGGAACTGCTGGATCGCATCGACAAACTCACTGAGTCCCGTGTACAAGAACTGAAAGCCTACAGAAAGAGCAAGGATATCGACCTCCAGGTGGAACAGCAGAGGTGTGAGTTCATAGACAAAGTTGTGACGTCTGACTGTGTAGCAGACATGTTTGATATGTATGAGTCTGTGAATGGAGCATCTGGAGATGAAGATACAAGAGACGACAAGATACCACAAACATCCAGCATCATCTTCGAACGCGACACAGAGAAGTTGATGAGATCTGTGAATAAGGTGCACCTGGGGCAGGTCGAAGTTGTTAGTGGTCTCAGTGACTGGACGTCATCTCCTGTTCTACTGGAATCAATTGATTTTAGTGAAGACATGTTTCTCGTTTTGCCTGATGTTGTAGCATTTGCTGTCAATGGTGTCCGGGTAATTACTGTGATAGCTTTAAATTGTCTGCTCAGTGTTCGCTATGTTCCAAACAAAAGATCCTTGAAGAAACACCTTAAACTACCTTCTCAGCCAATGGGAATAGCTAAGTTGGCTGGAACTGAGGCAGCTGTTACTCTGCCAGTCACACAACAAATAGCGTTCATCACGTTTGATCCTGAACCTACATTAGAGTCAACTGTGAAAACAAGGGTGAAGTATCGTGGTTTAGCCTTCCTGAACCCTGCACAACTCGTAGCAGGAAGATTTGGCGGTCCTACCTCTGTTGACATACTGGATATGGGAGGGAATGTACTCAAATCAATCAACACTGGTGTAAGTAATCCACAATACATTCATGTTACGAGGAATAACAACGTGGTAGTCAGTGAAGCAGAAGTGAAATCTCTGGTATCTGTGACTCTTGACGGACAAGCTGTTTTCACCATCACACCCAGAGGAGACAGGGCTCTGACGTATCCTCAGGGTATCACAACAACCAGCACTGGAGACATTTTGTTTGCAGACAGAAACTCCCACAAGGTGATTCAGCTGACAGAGTCAGGGCAGTTTGTCAGAGATGTTGTCACAATACAGGAAGACCTATGGTACCCCACTGGTATCTGTCTGGATGATGACGGTCTGTTGTATGTCACGTCAGGCGGGTATGTGAAAGTATTTGGCTGTGAATAGTCTATGTATGTAAGTATGTATGTGTGTGTTATCGTCAGATCTTACACAGTCCATTCAATATAATGCACATATTTCTTAAATCTGTTAGTTTTGACAAGTCTACACATCTAATTTAATATATTTCATAGAATGGCTTTGTTTCATTGACAAAATATCCTAAAACTTATAACACTATTTCGAATTTGCGCAGCAGTCCTTTGTCATCGGAGCCGACAGAGACAAACGATGCAGCCTGTTTGATATATATATATATATATATATATATATATATATATATATATATATATATGTATATATCATAAGCCGTACTGTCGCAGTTGTAGAAGAATATTTATGTAACAATGTAAAACATTATAAAGAGGGCGTCGAAAAGCTTGCGTTCGGTCAGTCTCTTCTTATTTACGGATATGCGCGTTTGTTTTCAAACAAGAGAAAAGTCACGTGATATGCAAATTTGACTGTGGCAGTAATTTTATGCTAAGTTATCACTGCACCGGAGTGTGCCCAGCAAATGTTTGACGTCACAGATCATTGTTTTTGTAACAAAGTATCATAAAATTACGATGTAATTTGTAAAGTTCGTGGTTCTGTATTCTAAAGGTAGGCCGCATGTGTTTAAATGCGTGCATGTATGTTGAATTTCATGTTGATGTACATCGCTAACGAACAAATTCTCACAACCTGGACCCTTTTCGTAATCTTATGAATTCTGAATTATGGCTTAATATCTTTAGATATTCAATTCTCTCTCGGCTCACTGACAGTGATGGAACTGTTTCACTTTTGTGACAAATAAAAAGAGTTAAAAACAACTCTCTTACAAACTCATTATAAAGTTTCGAAGAGGTGTTTTTTAGTACTCGTTTACTCTTTTTAATAAATACATGACGACAGCGCATGGAACCTCATAGCTAGTTATTTATAATTCTAAAACCGAGACCAAAGCGCTCCCTTGTCACACCAGATGGTTGGATGCTCCACATGGGTATATTGTTTGAAACCCATATTTGAAACCCGTGAATTTACAGGAATATTGCTAAAGAGACGCACTATGCTCACTCACTCAAAGATTAAACTATTTAAAATACTTGCCGTCCAGTGTTTTCGGCAACAAGTAGTGAGTGACTTTAGTTTTACACTCAGCAATATTACAGCTATATGGCGGTAAATAATCGAGTCTGGACCAGACAATCCAGTGATCAGCAGCATGAGCATCTGCGCAACTGGGATACAATGACATGTGTCAACCAAGACAGGGAGCCTGAAACCCCGATCCTGTTAGTCGCCTCTTACGACAAGCATGGGTTACTGAAGACCAATTCTAACCCCGGATCTTCAGGGGCAGCAAGTAGTGATGTGGATGAGTGAGTGAGTTAAAATCCAACGTAGCATCCGAAGTATTTCGGCAATAGCGGCGAAACCATGTTTACACATTTACACAAATACGTTATTAACACAAAGTTACACTCAAAAGCATACTATTAGTTTCATATACAAACCGTAACACTACAATGCTGTCTATTTACAACTGACAATACGGATTGTAACAGTATTATTTAGAATTTAAAAATAGACTTAAACAATACCACTTAAATCCAGAAGACAGGCTAAAAGCCCAAATGTACAAACACGCAAAGAGTAATGCACAGACATTTATATTTAGAAGATAAACATCATGTGTTGGCCAAATTCCGGGTGTTATTGAGTATTTGAAGCACGGGAATTCATTTGGAACGGGAGGTTTCAAATGAAATATTCCCTGTGCTTCAAGGTACTGATAAAATTTCTTTTAAGTAATTAATTGTGAGATGACAGCTTACACGAATAAACAGACCTTTCAGGTTTACTATTTAATAATGTGAATACCTGCATGTGCAAATGCAAAGTCCATACAGTCTAGAAATCTAGTGCTATGGAGATAGATCTACATTGATGATTGGAGCTTGATATGTTCCATTAAAACCTCTTAACAATTCATTTGTTTGTTCGTTGGCTGGTTAACTTTATGAGCACCATTCAGGCTATATCACGGTGGTCTGGTGGCCATGATAATAGGTGGTATTGCTGTACTTTTTGAATAAATACATGACGACAGTGCATGAAAGCCCATGTCCAGTTATTCATAATTCTAAAACCAAGACCATCTTCACCCTGATAGTACAGGAATATTGCTAAAGAGGCGTCAGGTATACTCACTCATTCACCCAAAGACTTAGCTATAGATAATCCTCGCTGAGTGTTTTTGGCAACGGGTTGAGATTTAAATTTGATCAGTTAGAGAACTGACCTTGTCATCACAGCGTTTGGCAGTTAATACATTGTCACAGACAGCGATAGATTTGTTGTGAACTAAGTTTACAAATATTTCAATATTTACAATATTTCAGCAATATCACGGAGGGGGATACCATGGGCTTCACATCATTGTATTCATGTGATACGTATTCTTAGTCCCATTTACAGCCGCTATATGAACTCCTGAGCACTGTCCACCTAATAATCATAATGGTAGTGGCAAAACCGATAGTGGCATAGACAGTGTCCCAAGTGGAAGAACAAGTTGCGGAGAGATTGACTGAGAACACTAAGAAAGTGGCAGCGGGTAAAAAAGCTGGAGCTGGAAAGAAAACAAATAGCTTCAAAATGCAGTTGAATCAAGTTCAAATGTTGAACTGGTTAAACATTCGCTTGTATATGCACAAGCTACTGCAGTATAGCAGCCGTATGGTTTCTCGAGGCCAAGAAAGCACCACCAGGCAAAGAGGTGGACACATTTCTAAAACTGAATGTAGTTCATGCAGTTAAAACAAACTGATTAAAGATAAATGTCAATGTCATGCTATGGAGAAATGACTACTCAACACAGCATACCATTTAGCAGTTGTCAGTGATAACAAATTAAATATCATCATTAGAGCGCCACTTCCCACGCTAGCTTTTTATGGTTATAATAATAGTATGATTGTCCTAATTGAAACTCTAGCGGTAGCTACAAGAGAAATGCTAATGAAGGACTTCGTTACTTAGGTATTTATAATAAAACTGAACACAGTTCAAACATCAGTTAATGTTCTTACTCTCTCAGTATTTTCTTCTTCAGATGGGCACATGAAATGCAAAAGCTGAAGGAGCGGAAAGACAAAGCCGATATGGCTTCAGAGCAATTTTACGGTTTAGAAACTTTCGTGAAAAAAAAGTCTTGTGTGCCCCCTTTAAAGCAGCAAATTAAAACACAAACGAGCTTATGGTATCCAATTATATATTGAATACACAAGGTTACAAAGAATGACAGTACATATTTCCAATACAATACAACTGAGTCGCAAATCTAAACTATTGGGTCACAAATCTAAAATGTTAATTGACCAAAGTCTTGATATTTCCAGTAAAAAAAGATGTACTGATTGAAGATTGTTGGCAGCTGTTGTAAGTTCAATGTAGACGAGTGGTAGGTATCTTGACTGGTGAAACGTCGATGTTAGCAGAGAGATGATCGAAAGCCAATCTAAAGCAGTAGTCCCTTCATACAACTCAACAACCACCCGTTCTATTCCTTTTATATAGTTCGAGACTTTTCCAGCATAATTCACGCCATGACAAAATCCTCTCATAGTTTACAACATCATACCGAAAACCGATGCATAACAAAGGGGAGGTAACTCCCGAGCCCACTCTTAACAGTTGAAATACACAGCCTAAGTTCAAGATGTAAGTTCAAATCCACTCTCAACTTTAAACTTTTCTGACCCATAATACCTAAAAGTTAATCAACTTGACATTACAATTAACAAAACACATCCTCATAACAGCAGCATGAGACCGAACAAACTGAATTGACCTGGAAAAGAACACACAGAATCCAGTTTCATAAACCATGAACTTCGTAGACAAAATTATTTAATACAAAATTTTAATGGTGATGAAAATGCAATACGAGAAAGCAATCTCATCCATGGAACACCACTTGACCCAGTTGGCCCCAAGCTGACGTTATCACAGTTTATACACCGTCAGCGGGTCAGAAATGTGGCCAGATAACATTCAGTGCACTAGGTTGAATGAGACAGCAATATGATGGCAGTTTTGAACATACAGAACCTAATGTTATGTACAATCCACAAGTATTAATTGATCCACGTTGTATCATATCAACCGACATAAGATCCTTTTGGGCGAAGAACTAACAGGATATTCAGGTTGGGTCAGGGATAAATTTGATACTATTTATTTAGATAAAGCAAATGATGTCTCTTCGGAAGGCAGATAGTACATGGATTTACCACAATGTAATTCATCAAATTATGAGTGAAGAACAATACATAATTAACGTTACAAATTATAAAGAAAAACTGTTCAAGATGGTCATTGAGATCTGTCTTATTTCTTGTAGTTTCTAGAAAACAGCCAGTTTGTTTGTTCGTTGTTATATTATACTCGGCAATATTACCGCCATATGGCGGGGGTCTGTAAATAATCGAGTCAATCCAATCCAGTAATGGAAATAATGAGCATGGATGTGCGCAATTGGGATACGATGACATGCATCAGTCAAGTCAACAAGCCTGACCATCCGTTAATGTCCTTTTACGACAGGCATGTCGGTGTTTAAAGTCACATTTTCACACATTTTCGACAGTATTTTGGACTATATTATGCTTATATATTGGGGCATATGCACTAACTTTACATTCCTATTAATACAATTAAAGACTTATTATCCCTTACAACTTTCAAGGCCAACAGCTTCCGTACAGAGAACACTTGCCATATATGGAATAAAAACAATTGCTCCGTACATCGAAAACTGTCGCACGCTTTATTGTCAGTGTTTGCCGAACTGGTTTGAATCACCAGTTGTGCGTGTGTTTTTGATCCAGACATTAGCGTCATTTTGTTGTCTGTCTTCTAAGGAGTTATAGGACATAAACAGTGCTCCAAGGGACATAACGCTTAGGGTTCGCTTGAAATAATGTTCGGCCGGTAAAGGGCGCGAGAGTCGATTTAATGCAACGTTGCATTAATTTATCCGAACTTTTTAATTAAACATTGTAATCTACATACGTAATTTTTCAAAATGAATTAAAGCTGCCCTGAGGGCTGATAGTTAGTATTAATGAGGGAAATGCATTATCTATTTTTAAGAAGTGTGGTGTGAAATAGTGCCTTTAAGTGCAACTCTAACCCAGACCTTCATTGGTACCAAAATCGCTTTTATAAAGGCAAGGACGGGTAAACGAGAACAAAACAAAGTAATGAAAACAAGATTACCACCTGTTGAATCATTCTATAGTAGTGAAATCAGTTTAACTGATGCTGATAATGGACATAAATGGGATAAATAAGGTTGTAAGAATGTAGTTGATCGTCATAATATTATATACCAAAAAACTGATGATGTTTAGGGAGACACGTTTCAGCTTGGACCCGGCATGGTATAATTACCCTCTTGTATTCAGTATCTAGTACAGTATAACGAATGGTAAACGTCATTTATGAGGCGCTGAGAAGGCAGTGTGCATTTGAATGCTGCTTCTACGAAACATAATCTCAAAATATCCCAACAATGACTGCTGACAGCTCACAGCTGATATGGATATCATGTGTCACGTAATCGAATTGTTTCACGCCGAGCAGCTTCATGTCAAGTGATCATCATCCAGGAAATGGGAAGCTGTCCATCCCGACTGATCGTCCATGTTTGAGTGCCCGTAAGGTAAATTACAAGAACACTGTTTAAATGTAACTTGAATATTTTGTTTCATTTCAACTGACACCAATTCGTCTCAAACACGTAGATTTGAGACATAGTCGACATGAAGGTAAAGTGCCCTTCGAAAGCGTAACAGAAAGTTTGTAGAAACTTTATTTCATCCTGACTTAAATGTTTGTCTCTCTTTATGCTCGAGAATGTAGGCCATCAGCCCGGTGTACAGTTATTTAATACAGTCAACAAACGACTTGTACGCAGCTCATTCACGCAAAAAAGATACATAGCTATATTTCGCAGCACAGTGGAATTGTCCACAGACATCAAAGTATTTAATTTGTACAATAATGGATAGGTATAAAAGTTCACAGAAATATATAATGTACGTAGATGACCGTAGGCAGAACATGTTAAGAGAAAATGATATTCATTTTCAATGTGAGCACCCGAACACATATGACATAATCTCAAATTCCTTGGCTTATTGATATATCTACCCGTCTCAATAATTAATTGATAAGAGATGCAACGAAACTGTGCAAGAGCAATGCGGAATAGACTATTTTCCAGTGGTAACGTGACTTATGACGCGATCACGTGACCAGGTCAAGCTTTCGGACAAAATGGCGTCTGTCAAGCATCGTTGTAGTTACTGATCACGTTTGTTGTAACATTTATTCGCACTTTATCGAACTTAGTGAATGACATACTTAATCTAAATAGTTCTTGTATATAATTTGTCCCTTTAGTTTATATAATATTTCTCTGAGGCTGCATAATTCGGCGGAGCAATTTGAATGTAGATCTGGTAGCCGGCACGTCTTCGATGCCTGGTGCATGAGATATAAACAGTTTATAAAGGTTATGATTAATTACCATGGAGAAATTGAAAGCTCCAGAACTTAAAGATTATTTGAAAAAGTTCGGAATAACAACTACAGGTCACAGAAAAGACGTTCTCATAGCTTTAGCCAATGCAGTTTGACTGTAGGAATCTGTTCCTGAGAGGGTACGTAAGTCCCAAAGCTCTTAAAGTAAATTTCAACTTACCAGGATTTTGAGAGTAGAATTTTTGTGATTTTAATTATGGCTAAATTTGACTACAGTCGCCGGCTGCTGAAGGGATGATGTAAATCCAACTAGGGTCCATGTAGGTAGCAACGATACTGTAAGTCCCCATGGTCCTTAGTATGGTGATCAACCTTCAGTTGCTGGTGATCTATATAGCCCGTTCTTATATTGTACTGTTGTCTCTCTTGATATATTTTTATGATAGCGTACTAGTTTTAAATTAAGAGCTGTGATATTCTAATATTTTTACTGTCCTTCGATGACAGGTTTTTATGTTATACATTTATTGCTTTGAATATTGATAATATCAACTGTTCTCGTCACGATAGAGCTGCAATATTGCCGATGTGACGTTAAATTTTAACTCACTCACTCACTGTAGGAATCTGTGCAGGAAAAACAGAAGCTGGATGGATGTAATACCTGAAATAATTTTTAATATTGATCAAATAACTATTTTAAAACACACATTAAGGTCTATATCATGCAAAATATGGTATCACTTAATAAAAGATAAAATGAATGTCTATATTATAGATTTGAAACAGTGTAGATTTGAAACATATTTACCTGTGTAGAATTTGCATGATCTGTCACTTCTGAGAACATTGATGCGGTATGTATAGTATCAGAGAGAAGAATAACATCGTCGGCAAACAAAAGGAGGAACAATTGCATCAACTCAGTATGCAAAACAAAAAGGGAATTAAGACACAACCTTGTCGTACCCCAATGCTACATTGAAGCATTTCCGAGAAAGAATTGTTAGATTTAACACAGGACTTGACACAGTCATAAATGAATCTTGTCTTTTAACATTTTAGGAGACACGCCCCTTCTATTCAATACCCACCATAATTTTGACCTATTAACCAGATCGAAAACTTTTGAGAAGTCAACAAAAAAGCGTATAAACTTACCTTTCTTGGATAGAATCCTTTGTGCAATAGTATGCAAGATAAAAATATTTCCAATGGTAGAATAACCAACTTAGAACCCTGCCTGCAACTCTGAAATATTATCATAAGCATCACACCAAAACTGGAGTCTATAATTAAAGATTGATATATATAGCTTACCTCACCTCTCTTATGTATAGGAACTATTACACCTACAGACCACTGTGCTGGGAATATACCTTTATCAAATAAAATATTGAAAAGAGGAAAGATGAAAGGGAAAACAACATCACACGAATGCTTAAAGAACTCCACAATTACCACCTGATTTAGAACATTTAAGTGTATCGATTGCCTTAAGCACCTCATCAACTGATACTGGGGAAATCTAGAATAGCAGATATATTACCATCCGAGACCTCAGGGTCTCAGACACTTTTGGAAAAGTGAATAATGTTAAATAAGTGTGCCAGGAAAACATAATCTTTACGTGTCTGTCACGCGTTTCTAGCACCTACAAACAGCACATATACAGTGTATGTATAAGAATATTACAGTTATATCCCTTCATTAGGAGTTCACAAACGCTATCATATTGGTGATAACTGATAAATGCGATAAGCAATGCTCAACCTGTACATAATGTATGTGTGTGTAGTCACATATGTACTCGTATGTGTATGATATATGAACTATGCCTCATGCAAAATATATTGTGCTGGCCTGCAAATTCAGTTGAGTAACGGCAAGTGGTTGATTTCACGAATAAAGCCCATGTCGCAGGGAACAATGTCCGTTTAGGTAACCTACTGCAACAACCCGATGCTTAAGTGGTCCGTGTAAGTCGTCTTTTGTGAAAAGCAAGGATACTGAAGGCCTATACATTACTTGCACCAACTAGAATATATATATTATGGCTGCTGAAAATAGTAATATTGTTGACAAGATTTGTCTTTAACAAATTTGGTTGACACCATAGTTTAATGAGACGATTTAATTCTACCAGAAATGGCCACCGCCAGGAAGCTGACAGACAACCACCTGACCTGTGCCATCTGTACAGAGGTGTTCACAGACCCTGCCACACTTCAGTGTAATCACACATTCTGTAAGTCTTGCCTGCTGAAATACACCAAAACAGAGTCTGAAGCAATACAAGCCAAGTCCATCCCATGTCCCGCCTGTAGACAGACAAAGGTGGCCAACCCTGACAGTCCAGTGGAGGAGTGGATCAGCCAGCTGAAACCAAGCCACCTCATAGAGAGTTTGATTTTGGACGATTTGGGGGGATCGACTGGTGAGAAAATATTAATGAAGAAACAGTTTTTATCTTTGGCGCCAAGGTATTCGAAATGCAATTTAAGTCTGTTTAGGCTAGAAGAATTAAATTTGAAGAAAATTGTCTGACATGTATACATCTTGCAAATCAAGCTTATGCAAGTATTAAAATTTATGCAATAGCTGTAAGTACGTTCGAAATATAATATATGTAGCAAGTGTCTGCATATGTGTACATATCATTAACACGAATCATTTCAATCATTTTTAGATGTTGATGCGTGTAGCGTGTGCAAAGAAGATGGCAAAACAACTCCAGGTACAATGTGGTGCACCATTTGTGAAGCTGTCTTCTGTGATGGATGTCTCAAATTACACAAGAAGATGCCTCTGTCACGTCACCACGAAGTGTTTGATGTACGTATCCGTGGCAACAGGAAACCCAAAGTACGCAGCTTCATGTGCAGAATTCACAAGGACGAAAAGATAAAACTGTTCTGTAAAGACTGCAGAATGACAATATGTACTGTATGCTGCAGCATCAAACACCGGAAGTGTGATGATGTTGAAACCATAGATGTCATGATGACTCTTGTTAAAGAAACTCTGGTCAATGAAACAAGGAACCAAGAGAAGAAGATACAAACTTACATTGACAATATTTCATTGACAAACTCGAATATTGAAAAGCTGACAACTAGTGCACAAGAAATGAAAGATGAAGTTAGGAAAGTACGCATTGCAGCTACAGATGTTCTTGTGAGAAAGGAAAAGGAACTGCTGGATCGCATCGACGAACTCACTGAGTCCCGTGTACAAGAACTGAAAGCCTACAGAAAGAGCAAAGATATTGACCTCCAGGTGGAACAGCAGTGCTATGAGTTCACAGACAAAGCTGTGACGTCAGACTGTGTAGCAGATATGTTTGATATGTATGAGTCTATGGATGGAGCATCTAGAGATGAAGATGGAAGAGAGGACAAGAGACCACAAACATCCAGCATCATCTTCCTACATGACATAGACATGTTGATGAGATCTGTGGATGATGTGATGCTGGGGGAAGTAATAGTTGGTAGTGACCGGACGTCAACTCCTGTTCTCCTGGAAACAATTGTTTTTAGTAGAGATAGAATAGGGTTGATCGATTTGAGTGATGTTTTAGTATGTGCTGTCGATGGTATCAGGGTAATTACTGTGGTAGATTATTTGAATTGTCGACTCAGTACGCAGTATGTTCAAAACAAAACATCCTTGAAGAAACATCTCCAACTACCTTCTGGACCAGAGGGAATAGCTAAGGTGGGTGGAACTAAGGCAGCTGTTACACTCCCAGACACACAAGAAATAGCGTTCATCGAGTTTGACCCTGAACCTACATTGCAGTCAAATGTGAAAACAAAGAGGAAGTATCGTGGTTTAGCCTTCCTGAACCCTGCACAACTGGTGGCAGGAAGATTTGACGGTCCTACTTCTGTTGACTTACTGGATATGGGAGGGAATGTACTGAAATCAATCAGCACAGGTGTGATAGGTAATCCACGATATATTCATGTTACGAGGAAAAACAACGTGGTAGTCAGTGAAGCGTCAGTAACATCCCTGATATCTGTGACTATTGACGGGCAAGCTGTTTTCACCTTCACACCCAGAGGAGACAGGGCTCTGGAATATCCTTGTGGCATCACCACAACCAGCACTGGAGACATCCTGTTAGTAGACAGACACTCCCTCAAGGTTATTCAGTTGACAGAGTCGGGGCAGTTTGTCAGAGACGTTCTCACACCATGTGATGACCTATGGTACCCCACTGGTATCTGTCTGGATGATGACGGTCTGTTGTATGTCACGTCAGGCGGGTATGTGAAAGTATTTGGCTGTGAATAGTCTATGTATGTATGAATGTCTGTCTGTCTGTCTGTCTGTCGGCACGTATGTATGCATGTATGTATGCACGTATGTATGGATGGATGTGTGGATGTGCGTGTGCGTGTGCGTGCGTGCGTATGCATGTATGTACACTAAACGCCAAAAGAAACGCTACCCTCTTTCCTTAATGTCTGTCTTTCTGTGTTTGCGTGTGTGTGAGTGCGTGCGTGCGTGCACGCCCGCATGTATGTATGTATGTATGCATGTGTGTGTCTGTATGTTTGTATGTATGTATGCATGTATGTATGTATGTATGTGTGTGTATGTGTATGCATGCATGTATGTATGTATGTATGTATGTATGTATGTGTGTTTGTGTGTGTGTGTGTGTCTGTCTGTCTGTCTGTCTGTCTGTCTGTCTGTATTTAGGTATGTATGTAGCTAAGGTAGACCTTAACATCGCTTACAGATCGGTTTATTCGGTTGATATTCACCCCAGCAACTACGCTTTGACTGAATACCTACTTTTCTTGAAAGGTAGTCTAGACTGCAAATCTTTGTTTAGCTCATCCATATAAGTGTCATGTTTCCTAAGATCCTACGGAAAGTTGCGTCCGGCAAATGTTTTGTACAGGTCAAAATACGATCCACATAAGCATATAACTGTGTTTGATGTTTGCATTATGCACACATGTTGTTGTATTTCTTTGAAAAGACAAAGCCATTGCAATTCCGATAGAAATTGCTTGATGTTTTCCTGTCGGACACTGGCAGTCATCCTCTCAACCCAGCTGCAGCCACGAGATGTCTCTTGCAGCACCACAGGCACGTCACTGCTACACAGCCGCTGTTGTGTAATGATGGCAGTACTCCTCTGTCCTGCTGTGTTTTTCTCTTAAGGCTTTGCGCAAAATAGTACATTCAGATGGTGTCACTGTGAACATAACCGGACACTCACTCAGGTGCGGTGCTGCCAGTTGGGCAGTCAGTGTTGGAGTGACCGGAGAACTCATTCAGGACAGAGGCTTTCGGAAAAGCTCAGCATGCTTGGTACCCAGAGTTTAACTCTCAGTGTAAAATGAAAGCACTAAAGTTTAACGTTTTTGAGAGTAATTTACCATGTTAACGTTCCTGTCTTTGAATAGATTATTAATGACTCATCCAGATATTTTACTTTTTCTTCATACTTCCTTTTCCTTTTCCAACTTTGATTTGATTTGGGGAATCAATTTCATGACACTTATTTGCTTACTTTATCCCTATGTATTAAAGTACAGGTCCTTTCGCTTAAATATATATGCCTTTTTCGTTGTTTTTAACGATTTGACGTTTAGATTGTTAAAGTAATATTTTACCTCAGTAACATAAATTGAATACGTTAGTCAAGAGTCACCTCCATTTCCTTGATCACGCTAGTTTTATCAGAGTTACCTCCCTTTCGCATTTCACTCACGTTGGTTTCGCGCCCGCATGGCGTTTGTCTTTTTGTGTCCAGCGTTTGGTATCTTGTCACCCATCCCACCCTCCCAGTAGTATTATCGGGTTTTTAGGTAAAGAGGGAATCAATTGAGTCTCTTTCTCCCGCATGTTGACACTTTTTCGGGACACTTATTTGCTTCCTTAATCCCTATGTATTGAAGTTTCATTCTCTTGACATATATGCCTGTTTGTTCTTTTTAACGAGTTGAGAATGGTGTAACACTTTTTAATATTTAGTTTTGCTTTGAGGCTTTCCTTCTTGACTCACCGACAGAGATGGAACTGTTTTACTGTTGTGAGAAATAAAAAGAGTCCAAACAACTCTCTTCCAAACTCAATATAACCGTTTCAAAGAGTTATGTTTTAGTATTGTTTTACTCTTATAAATAAATGCATGGCGACAGCTCGTGAAAGCCCGTGTCTAGTTATTTATTATTCTAAAATCGGGACTAAAGCGCACCCTTGTAACACCGGATGGATATCTGGTCATTTCCACCCTGAATTATGCTGAAGAATACTGTTAAAGAAGAATATACTCTCTCACTCAAAGACTAAGCTATTTAAAATGCTTGCCGTGTATTGGTTTTCGGCAACAGGTCATGATATGGATGAGTGAATGAGTTGAAATTCACGTTTCACAGCAACATTTCAGCTATATAGCGACGAGACCAAGTTTACACATACACACAAATCCATTAGTAACGATAGTTTTATATGCAAATTGTAACACGACAAAACTGTCTAATATTGAGACCACAGACTGCAACACTATTCTTTCGTGAGACCAAACAATATTGTTTACAATCTAGAAAACGTGCTAAAAGCCCCAATTTACAAACACGCAAACAGTACTGTATAGACATATATTTATAGTTTATGGTACAGATCAACTTCGTTTAAGTAAAATGACAGCTCACACGGGTAAACAGATCTTTCAGGTTTATTGTTTAATAATGTGAGTCCACAGAGTCAAGCTGAACAGTGATACGTGGAGAATAATATACGGACGACTGGACAAACCCAGAACACTTACAGGATAGAATGTACTCACACACTCGCTCACTCAAAAACAAAGTTCTTTCAATTGCTGGACCTCTCGGATATTTGATGTGAACCTTGGGTGGTCAGGCTCGTTGATTTGGTTGCCACGCCTTATCCCAATTGTGTAGATCGATGCTCATGATGTTGATCACTGGACTGACTTGTCCAGAGTCGATTGTAGTCCACATGTAGCTGGACTACTGCTGGGTGCGGTGTTAAACAACCAAGCAGCCCAGGTTACAATATAAATATCTTGAGGTGGAGTAAGGTGAAATGAGGTTCATGTTGGACACCAGGTGTTCCGTTTATTCCGAGTGTTGGCATATTATGTATCTGTAATAAATGCTTATTCATCATGGCATTGTCACATTTGTAATATAAGTGGATTTACGAGGGCGTTTTCGCAAGTTTGGTACGGTGGTGTTGTATGCACTTGAGGCCGTTCGTACATAATAAAACCGCAGACAGTAAACTTAACATATACGGTACAGAGAACACATACACAGTTCACATTGTAATTTTGTTTCGTCAATCAGAGGTACAGAGAACTAGTCCAGTAAAGTTAGTGGAAAAAATCACTGAACCTCCAAAAGATTGGTACAGAAATGGTTTTGTGTTTATATCATTTACAATAGTTATGTAAACAATATGTAAAAAGTCCTCCCTAGGATGTTGATGCTAAGTGGCTCTTTTTGGGAAAAGAACTATGCAAAATGGTATTTTTCAATTATATTTTTCTAACTGAAAATAAGCCTAGAATATGGTATAAAATGTTGCAAAACATGCAACTGAAGTGATCAAAATAGTAAATAATGACAATTAAAATTGAAAAAATAACATGACATGAGGTTTGAACTTGGAATTTGGATGCTCTAGCGCACAAGAAATGTGTAAATAAGAGTTTTCCCTCTTTGTTTGCAATAGATTGAAGTAGCAGAAAGTCTGCGGTCGTGTAAGACTCATTCTCTTCCAACAGAGGTTAGTTGTCATATCTACGAACCTCTGTTCTAATACGGCCCTTTCATGGTGCAGGTGTTCAGGATTCGTGATTGGTTGCAATCAGATTTGGTTGTGCAATCAGCGACGTTGTTTCAAAAGTGATCATTCGCAAGGACTCAGTAATTTCCGTATGCTTCGGGAAAACTGGAACCTCTTCCCCTGCGTTATACGCAAACGTTTTCTTCTAGACAGAACTCAGTCATGTAATGGCGGATCAATGGCGTCACCATCGCCCTCGTTGACAACGGACAAGCTTGCCATTAAATGTCTTGTGTGTCACATCAACACAAGTCCCCGGCAGAGAAGAGGGATATCTGTGGCCCCATTTTTACCATTTGTCACCACTCGCCTTCCGTAACCTGATCGCTGTTCGGCTTGTCCCGGAATAACACGAGTTGGTCACGAATGCATTTTTACTTGCATCGATGTAACACGTGTTTTGATTGGATAGAAAGAAGGGAGGTAATTCGTGTTGCGATGTTTTGCCGCTAGGGGATTTTACGAGAACCGGGAAATATGGCCGTATTAGAACAGAGCTTCATAGGAAGATATGACAAGTAACCTCTGTGGGAAGAAAATGTGTAAGACTACGCACCTAGGTGATAAATGGGACATTCTGTATCAAGATTTAAGAGAACTTGAAGAAAGATATGACAAAATGGTAGATTAGGAAAATATTATAACATTTATTTTTTCCATGCTTAATTTTCAAACAATTTCAAAAGGTGATTGAAGGATAGCCCTGTTCTCTTTTAACTTTAACTGGCAACTAAATATTATCATGTGAGGAAAGTTGAGTGAATCTTAGCAACTATTTATAGTATAGTTGGTATTTTTTATCCGATTTGAAATCTCAGCAGCATTTAAAAAACGGACTGAAATCTACATGAAAAAACTTTAAATTCATTCACATAAACTGGATATATAACCCATAGTTTTAATGAAAAACATACCAATCTTTCTTAAAATTGGAAAAAAATCATTAACTTAGGTTCCTTGTAGTGAGTGCGTTTAGTTGTACACCACACTTAACAATATTCCAGCTATACAATAGCGGCGGTCTGTAAATAATTGAGTCTGGACTAGACATTGCAGTGATCAACAGCATGATCATCAGTGCAATGGATATGACGACATGAGTCCACGAAGTCAGCGAGCCTAACCACCCGATCCCATTAGTGGCCTCTTACGACAAACATGGTTTACTGAAGATCAAGTCTAACCCGGATCTCCACAGGCGCTAGACTACTTGTTAAAAGCTCTAGTAAGGTTTTGAAAGTACAACCAGTATTATCCTTTTTACCTTCAGTAAACAATGTAACGATATCGGTATTGTTTATACTGAAATTACTAAAGGACAAATGCTTTAATAGTAGATGGTGCATGCTTGTTTACCAACCGTCTTAAAATTTTGCTCAGGAAACGAAAAGATTTCGGACTGACACAGGAATGACTATATATCCATCCCATGGTATAACATGTCGCTGTGGATAACTGTTATAAAATCCTGTACAATTCGATGTACCGGTAAGTGGAAAACTATTGCAAGCAGCATTGAACCAAATTACCTCACCCAACCAAATCGCAAATATTCAAGTTAGCCTGAACACAACCCTTCAAATTATTGGACTTCCTTTACTCAGAATATCTTCTGTTACTGTTAAGGTTTGCTTGGAATAGCATTCTCACCAAACACGATTCTCAAAGTGAATTCAAATTTACAGACTGTGATACCAAGGCTATCTCTGTCACCCCTTTGAAAAGCCCTTGGTGTTAAGGGTCACTATCAGTGTAGTTCAAGCTACCTGTTATGTTAATTAATATCTTGTTCAGTCATTACTATCTCTAGTTACAGAAGTAGGAGCTAAGTGCAACGCTTCTGAAAATGGGTATACACAAGGTCAGTTCATTCAGTTTGCAACAGATAATGTAGATCAATCTGAGAGCATGGATTGACGCATACCGATGACGGTTCTGCAAAACAGGTGACTGTTTGCCAAGGTTGCCGAGGTGTTGATGCGCTAAAAGAGATGGGTTCATATGTTCTTTACCAAGCAATGTGTTCAGACTTTGCTGAATCAAATTCATGTAGAATAAAATGAATCACTAGATTGTAACATTCTCAGTATTGAGTTTTGTCACCTCCATGCCTATGATCAAACTGAATCCCAGACTCAAAGCTATATTTGCTCAACTTATGTTTGTGAGCGGTCAAGTACAATGTGAAGTACAATGTCGGAACACATTTCGACAAACCATGTATATAAGGTTAACCAGAGTCAGGTGGTCTACACAGATTCATATTCTCTTGGAATTCAGCTGATTGTATTTGGCAGATAATATCTCACATAGGACACTTCAATCGGTTCCATGAGGTTACAGCAGAAAAGTATTGATGTGGATTTCAACCTTTAGCAATACATTCTACACTCTGCTGTTAGTAAACTTAAACCTAGTGTCATAGACAAATACCTGGAGAGCAAAGGCACCACTTAGTTTCTTAATTGAACTCATATTAGCTTTGGAGATAGCCACTGCAAGCATACAACCATGGACAAAGTCAAACTCCCAAGCAAGGAAACAATATACAATGTATACACATTTCAACATCTTAAAATAGCACAGGGCTCTAGTTCTTAACTTGATCCTCTCTCTGTTCCAAGCTTATGAATGAATGTGTGTTAGTTTTAGAGATATGGAATGAAATTTCAATTATTAGAAACTTACCTTCGGATGGACATACAAGCTGTCTACTATACTACAATAAAATAGACATCTGTACTATCAAATATGTGAGAACAGCTTCTCCATATTGATAGAGGATAGTTCTCTTTCAGAAAAATTTAAACTTTGAGACAAAGAGGAATTAAATTGCCAGTTCCCGAAGTTGTGTTTATTTCACCCTTGAAAATAGAAAATATATGCTCTGAATGGTCTTTTTTTCTACGGTTTTATTAAAATTATATGAATTTTCCAGCCCGTGTATAAGTAGTTGCTTGTGTCCTCTTTGAAAATATACACATAAAAGTACATTTGAGGATAATAGGATTTAGCATATATTTATTTGACTTTTTTAACCTATGTATTAGAAGTACCTTGTGTTCTCTTTGAAAATATCCATAGAAAGTACATTTGTGTCTCAATGTGAAATCTAAAATAATATTCTCTGAAAATTTCCGTTTTTTTTACTTTTTACTAAAAACAGGGAATAACCATAAAGTAAATTGACTTTTCCAGACCACTTATTAGTAGTACCTTGAGTTCCTTGTTAAAATATACAAAAAAAGTACATTTGTGTCTCAATATGGGATGTTAAAAAATATTCTCTGAAACTTTAAATTTTCACATTTTTACCTCAAATAGGAATTAGCATAACATTATTTGACTTTCTAACCCATTTAATAGTAGTACCTTGTGTTCTCTTTGAAAATGTATATAAAAATGTATATGTGTGTCTCCATGTGAGATTTTAAAAATTATTCACGGACAATTTCAAATGTTCAACTTTTTAACCCCCAAAATAGGACATAGCATCATATTTCATGGGAGGACTTTTAGTACACATTAGTTATAACTCAAACATGTTCAAAACACTGAAATCATTTCTGTACCAATTTATTGGAGGTTTAGTCACATTTTGACTGGACTAAACGCATTGCAGTTCCCATATCTGCTACAATATATCGCGTGTCACGTGACCGCATATATTCAACCCAACCAGCAACTTCGTGTCACGTGAGGATCATTGTCGGGGCATCGATCAGGAAGTGTGACGCTATCTACCCCGGGTGCTCGTCCATGTTGCGGTATCTGTAAAGGTAAATCACGAAAACACTGTTGAATTGTAATTTGAATCTTTTAATTTCATACTGCTTCACACCAAATCGTCTTAAAACAATAGATTTGTCAACATGAAAGCCATTTGCACTTCGAAACCGAAAGTGGCTGGAAAATTCCATTTCATGTGTCCTGACGTGAAGTCTGAATCGTCAGCCACATGAAAAGATCTTTTAGGTATTTAAAAAAGCAAAACCGCAATCATAATGCATACATCACGTGTTTGTAACATCTAAAAACAACATGTAAACAGTCTACGCAGCGACATTTGACATTGTCTATATTTGGGTCGCATATGACTGTAAGAGCTATGTCCCTTTGTCAGTAGTTTACTATTTCCTGACGGATATAGCACACAAAGTAGCAAGGAAAACAGAATGCTGCCCGTTGCAGTATGACTGAAATCGTTAAATGAACAATATCGATTAAAGGTCACATGCAACCAAAAAATCAAACATAATTAAAACACAATTATCACTTATTCATGACATATAATATACATTGCTGGTTACGAAAAGATATATAAACAAAATTACAAGAGTACAATCGCAAATCGAAAGTGCAAAATTGTGTACTTCGGTTTACTTCCCAAGAAACGAAGCAGCCGGGATACCGAACCCAGTCAGAGCGGGTGGGTGTGCACTCAAGTGTAACGGCTGGTTCATTTGCAGATGCCTTCACGGCTAATTGTGTGTACATATATAGAGAGATGTTGGGTTTTGTAAATACATGCTCATTTTTTGTGTATAACATTTTGCAATCAACAGACATCATAACATGTCTTGTGTTCAAGTATCACACCTGCCTGTCTGTGTAATTACATAATGTGACAGAGACCGAACTCGGGCCAGAAATCAATGCATTTTGTTTATGGTGTATAGCCTGATTGGTGTTAAGTTCAAATTGCATGTGGTCAGTGATAGCAGCTGTGTATTGAATATTGTCATTAGCAGACAGGCAGGCAGACACACAGGTGTCAATAAAACAAGACATTGAGTTTTGTCTGTGACAACGAAATATCTATATCACAGTTAGAAATTCTGTCAACGCTAAATAATGACATTGCTTTTAAGTATCGAACTGAGAAAGTGTCTCGGTAAGAAGAACGTGTGGTGAAATAGACAAATGAAATTATATAAACAGTTAATTTACTGTCGTAACATATAAAAAGCTCGCGCCTGTGAGATATCAACAAAACATTAGAAAAATAGCTCACACCAAAGCCTTCACCGAGTATTCACCCGACAACCCGCTTCCAAGCTGCGCGAACCTATTTACTTGCGCACGTGCTATGAGCTCAGCCAAGCTGTTGAAACCCGTTTTCCCCAGAAAAGTCTGGGGAAAATTAGTGAAACGTTTGAACTCCGATTTCGCGCGTTTTTTTTCATCGCGTTATTTTTCAACTTTATAAGTTGAATTTGCATTTTTGACGATTTGTTTCGGTATGTCCATACCGAAAGGTATCAGAATCTGCAAAGTTGTGTTTTACGTTGCATGTGACCTTTAAGTATTTAGACTAAGCAGTAACTTTGCATCGATGATCCCAAAACACTAAAGAATTACATGTTACACGTTGATTCCAAGTTTAACAGGGAATCATTGTTCCCCAAGAGAGCTAAGGGCAAAACCTCTAAACATCAAAGACAAAGAACCAAGTTCACAAATCAGCGAGTGAGTTGTCATTTTACGCCGCTTTTACCAATATTCCAGCAATATCACCGCGATGGACACCAGAAATGCCATGTGCGGAATGGAACCCGTGTCTTCGGCGTGACGAGCCAAATGGTAATCATTAGGCTACCCCACCGCCCCTAATTCACAAATCAATTAAGAAAGTATCACTATGGCAGATTACAAACTAGTCAGTAGCATACAAGAAAAGTGATTATTGCCACACAGATTACCAAAGATGGCACTATTCATCTCTCAGTAACAATAATCCAAATTACATCTAGGCCTGCAGGATGATCATCACACACTGGTGTTCTGGTGTTTGACTTAGCTACTACACTCGCCCGGCTTCTGAATCGGGGGAATAAGCATGCATAAATTGCATCGATAGTCTAACACAGGTCTGTGCACGCAGATTATGACCCATGTGCAACGACCCCTGAAATAGCCAACTCATAACAGTAATGTGTAACACATAACAGTGAACTAACTGCAACGCGTAACAGTAGATCAAACTGAATGCAAGGCAGTAAAGTATAACAGTCGGTCCAACACATGACAGTAATGTGCAACAATTAGTTCAACACATGTCTCTAATAGTGAATGAAACAGTAGACTCTAATTGTAAATGAAACAATAAATAATTATGTACTACGTAGGAGACAGTGTGTCCTACGTAGGACTTAATAACTCCTACGTAGGAGATATTAATGTCCTACGTCGGAGATACTGAGTCCTACGTAGGACATAGTATCTCCTACGTAGGAGATAATGAGTCTAAAGAAATTCACCGTGGCCCCTACTACGCTTCCGTAGAAATGTGATTTAATTTAGAAATGTATTAAAAAATAAAATAAGTTCACAAATCAGTTAAAAATATCACTATGGCAGTGCAAAATAGAGTAGCAATGCAAATTCAGAGGGAGTATCATACAAGAGCTGTGATTTTATTGATAGTAATATTTACATGTCAGTAACAACAATCCACCTTGCAACTAGGCCTGCAGGATATGATCGTCACACACTGGTGTTCTGGTAACTTGAGATGTAATGTGAGATCAGAAGCAGGAGTTAACTCCTCTACAATATTGAGGGCTGCTTAAAATATTAACATTATTATTGACACACATAGTGTGTTCAACAAATTCGGTTAAAGCCATAGTTTAACCAGAGGTTAAGAAACTGACAGATAACAATCTGGGCCCCGTTTACAAATCTATCGTTGCTCCACGACTGCCCTAAGTCTATGTTATAGTTATATCCTCCTTAAAATAACACCATAATAATTATTAACAACATGATGTGTTTAACAAATTCGGTTGAAGCCATAGTATAAAGGTACAATGTCACACATTTGTGGCAATATTTTGGGCCTATATCATACATCACTTTAGCTTCCTATTGATGCAGTGAAAGACTTGCCTGAAATCGATAATTGAAACCTGGAGGCGGGCAGCTTCCAAACAGAGAACACTTGCCATATATGGAATGTAAACAATTGCTCCGTACATCGAAAACTGCCGCACACGGTGTTGTCGGTGTTTGCCGAACTTGTTTCAGTCACAAGTTGCGCCTAAGTTTTTGCGCCAGACATTAGGGTCTGCTTGAGAGGCTAAAGTCACAAGACAGTTCTGTGTCCAAAGGAGTTCTAGGATTTTCGTAAAGAACAGTCAAAGGGACACATATCTATGGGGTTCGCTTGAAATAAAGTTCGGTCGGTAGAGGACGCGAGAGTCGAATTAATGAAACGTTGCCTTAATTCATTCGAACGTTTTAATTTGTAATAAATTATATGGTGGCTTCCTGGGAGCTGATAGTATTATTGAGAGCAATACATTGTTTATGTTTAGAGAAGTGTGATGTGACGTAGTTCCTTTAATCATACAATATCATTCAAACAGAAATGGCCACCGCAAAGAAGCTGACAGACAACCACCTGACCTGTGTCATCTGTACAGAGGTGTTCACAGACCCTGCCACACTTCAGTGTAATCACACATTCTGTAAGTCCTGTCTGTTGAAATACACCAAAACACAGTCTGAAGCAATACAAGCCAAGTCCATCCTATGTCCCTCTTGTAGACAACAGACAAAGGTGACCAACCCTGACAGTCCAGTGGAGGAGCGGGTCAGTCAGCTGAAACCAAGCCACGTCATACAGAGTCTGATGGACGATTTCGGGGGATCGCAAGGTGGGAAAATATGTCTATTTTTTCATGTTTCCAGTGTATTCAAAATGTACTAAATCTTTATCAAACTGAAGCTATTGCATTAACAAAATCTATGTTTAAGAGTTGTAGCCCATACAGTGTATATATTTAATAGTTGTAGCGAATAGCTAGGGCCTGTCTGTATGTAGGGCGGTGGGGTAGTAGGGTTAAAGATTTCGCCCATCAGACCAGGTTCGATTCCCTACATGGGTACACTGTGCGAAGCCCATTTCTGGTGTTCCCCGCCGTGATATTGCTGGAATATTGCAGAAAGCGCTGTTAAACTAAACTCACTCACTCACTGTCTACATGGATGTGTGTATTTGTATATTAGTTAGCTGTGTTAACTGGGTGCATGTTTCATGAATCTTTCATGGATTTTCAGATGTTGATGCCTGTAGCGTATGCAAAGAAGATGGTCAAAGAACTCCAGGCACAACCTGGTGCACCACATGTGACGATTTCTTCTGTGATGGGTGTCTCAAATTACACAAGAAGATGCCTCTGTCACGTGATCATGAAGTGCTTGATGTACACATCCACATCAACAGAAAACCGAAAGTACGCAGCTTTATGTGCAGAATTCACAAGGACGAGAAGATAAAACTGTTCTGTAAAGACTGCAGGGTGTCAATGTGTTATGTATGCTGCAGCATCAAACACCGGAAGTGTGATGATGTTGAAACCATAGATGCCATGATGCCTCTTGTTAAAGAAACTCTGGTCAATGAAACAAGGAACCAAGAGAAGAAGATACAAACTTACACCGACAATATTTCATCAACAAACTCGAAAATTGAAGAACTAACGACTAGTGCACAAGAAATGAAAGATGAAGTTAGGAAAGTACGCATGGTGGCTACAGACGTTCTTGTGAGAAAGGAAAAAGAACTGCTGGTTCGCATTGACAAACTCACTGAGTCCCGTGTACAAGAACTGACAGCCTACAGAAAGAGCCAGGATATTGACCTCCAGATGGAACAGCAGCGGTTTGAGTTCACAGACAAAGCTGTGACGTCAAACCGTGTAGCAGATATGTTTGATATGTATGAGTCTGTGGATGGAGCTTCTAGAGATGAAGATGCAAGCGAGGACAGGAGACCACAGACATCCAGCATCATCTTCGTACAGGACACAGAGAAGTTGATGAGATCTGTGGATGATGTGATGCTGGGGGAGATCAAAGTTGTTGGCGGTCTCAGTGACCGGACGTCATCTCCTGTTCTCATGGAAACAATTGATTTTAGTGGAGTGGTGCCTAACGGTTTACGTGACTTCGTAGTATTTGCTGTTAATGGTGTCAGGATAATTATTGTGTTAGATTTTTGTGGTGGTCGACTCTGCATGTACTATGTTCCAAACAAAACATCCTTGAAAAAACATCTCCAACTACCTTGTGGGCCAGCGGGAAAAGTTAAGGTGAGTGGAACTAAGGCAGCTGTTACTGTGCCATTTGCACAAGAAATAGCGTTCATCAAGTTTGACCCTGAACCTATATTGCAGTCAAATGTGAAAACAAAGAGGAAGTATGATGGTTTAGCCTTCCTGATCCCTGCACAACTCGTAGCAGGAACATTAGACGATCCTGCCTCTGTTGACATACTGGACATGGGAGGGAATGTACTGAAATCTATCAAGACAGGTGTTATAAACAATCCAGAATACATTCATGTTACGGGGAATAACAACGTGGTAGTCAGTCGAGGGAAGTAAAATCCCTAGTGTCTGTGACCAGTGACGGACAAGCTGTTTTCACCTTCACACCTGGAGGAGACAGGGCTCTGGAAAGTCCTGGAGGTATCACATCAACCAGCACAGGAGACATCCTGCTTGTAGACTCAGGCTCCATGTTTGCGTACTCAGGCTCCAAGGTGATTCAGCTGACAGAGTCGGGGCAGTTTGTCAGAGACGTTCTCACAGCACAGGATGACCAGTGGAGTCCCATAGGTATCCGTCTGGATGATGACGGCCTGTTGTATGTCGCTTCAGGCCTATGTATGGAAATATTCGGCTTTATATAGTATGTGTGTGTGTGTGTGTATTAGGTAGTTAGTTATGAAGGTAGGTAGGTAGGTAGGTAGGTAGGTAGGTAGGTAGGTAGGTAGGTAGGTAGGTAGGTAGGTAGGTAGGTAGGTAGGTAGATAGATAGATTCCTCCGAAATGTGACTATGTACTGCTTTTTAGATTTAAGATATGTAGTCTTTAATCTCCATGTGAGATTTTAAAAATTATTCACGGACAATTTCAAATGTTCAACTTTTTACCCCCCAAAATAGGACATAGCATCATATTTCATGGGAGGACTTTTAGTACATATTAGTTATAACTCAAACATGTTCAAAACACTGAAATCATTTCTGTACCAATTTATTGGAGGTTTAGTCACATTTTGACTTGACTAAACGCATTGCAATTCCCATATCTGCTACAATATATCGCGTGTCACGTGACCGCATATATTCAACCCAACCAGCAACTTCGTGTCACGTGAGGATCATTGTCGGGCATCGATCAGGAAGTGTGACGCTATCTACCCCGGGTGCTCGTCCATGTTGCGGTATCTGTAAAGGTAAATCACGAAAACACTGTTGAATTGTAATTTGAATCTTTTAATTTCATACTGCTTCACACCAAATCGTCTTAAAACAATAGATTTGTCAACATGAAAGCCATTTGCACTTCGAAACCGAAAGTGGCTGGAAAATTCCATTTCATGTGTCCTGACGTGAAGTCTGAATCGTCAGCCACATGAAAAGATCTTTTAGGTATTTAAAAAAGCAAAACCGCAATCATAATGCATACATCACGTGTTTGTAACATCTAAAAACAACATGTAAACAGTCTACGCAGCGACATTTGACATTGTCTATATTTGGGTTGCATATGACTGTAAGAGCTATGTCCCTTTGTCAGTAGTTTACTATTTCCTGACGGATATAGCACACAAAGTAGCAAGGAAAACAGAATGCTGACCGTTGCAGTATGACTGAAATCGTTAAATGAACAATATTGATTAAAGGTCACATGCAACCAAAAAATCAAACATAATTAAAACACAATTATCACTTATTCATGACATATAATATACATTGCTGGTTACGAAAAAATATATTAACAAAATTATAAGAGTACAATCGCAAATCGAAAGTGCAAAATTGTGTACTTCGGTTTACTTCCCAAGAAACGAAGCAGCCGGGATACCGAACCCAGTCAGAGCGGGTGGGTGTGCACTCAAGTGTAACGGCTGGTTCATTTGCAGATGCCTTCACGGCTAATTGTGTGTATATATATAGAGAGATGTTGGGTTTTGTAAATACATGCTCATTTTTTGTGTATAACATTTTGCAATCAACAGACATCATAACATGTCATGTGTTCAAGTATCACACCTGCCTGTCTGTGTAATTACATAATGTGACAGAGACCGAACTCGGGCCAGAAATCAATGCATTTTGTTTATGGTGTATAGCCTGATTGGTGTTAAGTTCAAATTGCATGTGGTCAGTGATAGCAGCTGTGTATTGAATATTGTCATTAGCAGACAGGCAGGCAGACACACAGGTGTCAATAAAACAAGACATTGAGTTTTGTCTGTGACAACGACATATCTATATCACAGTTAGAAATTCTGTCAACGCTAAATAATGACATTGCTTTTAAGTATCGAACTGAGAAAGTGTCTCGGTAAGAAGAACGTGTGGTGAAATAGACAAATGAAATTATATAAACAGTTAATTTACTGTCGTAACATATAAAAAGCTCGCGCCTGTGAGATATCAACAAAACATTAGAAAAATAGCTCACACCAAAGCCTTCACCGAGTATTCACCCGACAACCCGCTTCCAAGCTGCGCGAACCTATTTACTTGCGCACGTGCTATGAGCTCAGCCCAGCTGTTGAAACCCGTTTTCCCCAGAAAAGTCTGGGGAAAATTAGTGAAACGTTTGAACTCCGATTTCGCGCGTTTTTTTTCATCGCGTTATTTTTCAACTTTATAAGTTGAATTTGCATTTTTGACGATTTGTTTCGGTATGTCCATACCGAAAGGTATCAGAATCTGCAAAGTTGTGTTTTACGTTGCATGTGACCTTTAAGTATTTAGACTAAGCAGTAACTTTGCATCGATGATCCCAAAACACTAAAGAATTACATGTTACACGTTGATTCCAAGTTTAACAGGGAATCATTGTTCCCCAAGAGAGCTAAGGGCAAAACCTCTAAACATCAAAGACAAAGAACCAAGTTCACAAATCAGCGAGTGAGTTGTCATTTTACGCCGCTTTTACCAATATTCCAGCAATATCACCGCGATGGACACCAGAAATGCCATGTGCGGAATGGAACCCGTGTCTTCGGCGTGACGAGCCAATGTGGTAATCATTAGGCTACCCCACCGCCCCTAATTCACAAATCAATTAAGAAAGTATCACTATGGCAGATTACAAACTAGTCAGTAGCATACAAGAAAAGTGATTATAGCCACACAGATTACCAAAGATGGCACTATTCATCTCTCAGTAACAATAATCCAAATTACATCTAGGCCTGCAGGATGATCATCACACACTGGTGTTCTGGTGTTCGACTTAGCTACTACACTCGCCCGGCTTCTGAATCGGGGGAATAAGCATGCATAAATTGCATCGATAGTCTAACACAGGTCTGTGCACGCAGATTATGACCCATGTGCAACGACCCCTGAAATAGCCAACTCATAACAGTAATGTGTAACACATAACAGTGAACTAACTGCAACGCGTAACAGTAGATCAAACTGAATGCAAGGCAGTAAAGTATAACAGTCGGTCCAACACATGACAGTAATGTGCAACAATTAGTTCAACACATGTCTCTAATAGTGAATGAAACAGTAGACTCTAATTGTAAATGAAACAATAAATAATTATGTACTACGTAGGAGACAGTGTGTCCTACGTAGGACTTAATAACTCCTACGTAGGAGATATTAATGTCCTACGTCGGAGATACTGAGTCCTACGTAGGACATAGTATCTCCTACGTAGGAGATAATGAGTCTAAAGAAATTCACCGTGGCCCTACTACGCTTCCGTAGAAATGTGATTTAATTTAGAAATGTATTAAAAAATAAAATAAGTTCACAAATCAGTTAAAAATATCACTATGGCAGTGCAAAATAGAGTAGCAATGCAAATTCAGAGGGAGTATCATACAAGAGCTGTGATTTTATTGATAGTAATATTTACATGTCAGTAACAACAATCCACCTTGCAACTAGGCCTGCAGGATATGATCGTCACACACTGGTGTTCTGGTAACTTGAGATGTAATGTGAGATCAGAAGCAGGAGTTAACTCCTCTACAATATTGAGGGCTGCTTAAAATATTAACATTATTATTGACACACATAGTGTGTTCAACAAATTCGGTTAAAGCCATAGTTTAACCAGAGGTTAAGAAGCTGACAGATAACAATCTGGGCCCCGTTTCACAAATCTATCGTTGCTCCACGACTGCCCTAAGTCTGTGTTATAGTTATATCCTCCTTAAAATAACACCATAATAATTATTAACAACATGATGTGTTTAACAAATTCGGTTGAAGCCATAGTATAAAGGTACAATGTCACACATTTTTGGCAATATTTTGGCCTATATCATACATCACTTTAGCTTCCTACTGATGCAGTGAAAGACTTGCCTGAAATCGATAATTGAAACCTGGAGGCGGGCAGCTTCCAAACAGAGAACACTTGCCATATATGGAATGTAAACAATTGCTCCGTACATCGAAAACTGCCGCACACGGTGTTGTCGGTGTTTGCCGAACTTGTTTCAGTCACAAGTTGCGCCTAAGTTTTTGCGCCAGACATTAGGGTCTGCTTGAAAGGCTAAAGTCACAAGACAGTTCTGTGTCCAAAGGAGTTCTAGGATTTTCGTAAAGAACAGTCAAAGGGACACATCTCTATGGGGTTCACTTGAAATAAAGTTCGGTCGGTAGAGGACGCGAGAGTCGAATTAATGAAACGTTGCCTTAATTTATTCGAACGTTTTAATTTGTAATAAATTATATGGTGGCTTCCTGGGAGCTGATAGTATTATTGAGAGCAATACATTGTTTATGTTTAGAGAAGTGTGATGTGACGTAGTTCCTTTAATCATACAATATCATTCAAACAGAAATGGCCACCGCAAAGAAGCTGACAGACAACCACCTGACCTGTGTCATCTGTACAGAGGTGTTCACAGACCCTGCCACACTTCAGTGTAATCACACATTCTGTAAGTCCTGTCTGTTGAAATACACCAAAACACAGTCTGAAGCAATACAAGCCAAGTCCATCCTATGTCCCTCTTGTAGACAACAGACAAAGGTGACCAACCCTGACAGTCCAGTGGAGGAGCGGGTCAGTCAGCTGAAACCAAGCCACGTCATACAGAGTCTGATGGACGATTTCGGGGGATCGCAAGGTGGGAAAATATGTCTATTTTTTCATGTTTCCAGTGTATTCAAAATGTACTAAATCTTTATCAAACTGAAGCTATTGCATTAACAAAATCTATGTTTAAGAGTTGTAGCCCATACAGTGTATATATTTAATAGTTGTAGCGAATAGCTAGGGCCTGTCTGTATGTAGGGCGGTGGGGTAGTAGGGTTAAAGATTTCGCCCATCAGACCAGGTTCGATTCCGTACATGGGTACACTGTGCGAAGCCCATTTCTGGTGTTCCCCGCCGTGATATTGCTGGAACATTGCAGAAAGCGCTGTTAAACTAAACTCACTCACTCACTGTCTACATGGATGTGTGTATTTGTATATTAGTTAGCTGTGTTAACTGGGTGCATGTTTCATGAATCTTTCATGGATTTTCAGATGTTGATGCCTGTAGCGTATGCAAAGAAGAAGGTCAAAGAACTCCAGGCACAACCTGGTGCACCACATGTGACGATTTCTTCTGTGATGGGTGTCTCAAATTACACAAGAAGATGCCTCTGTCACGTGATCATGAAGTGCTTGATGTACACATCCACATCAACAGAAAACCGAAAGTACGCAGCTTTATGTGCAGAATTCACAAGGACGAGAAGATAAAACTGTTCTGTAAAGACTGCAGGGTGTCAATGTGTTATGTATGCTGCAGCATCAAACACCGGAAGTGTGATGATGTTGAAACCATAGATGCCATGATGCCTCTTGTTAAAGAAACTCTGGTCAATGAAACAAGGAACCAAGAGAAGAAGATACAAACTTACACCGACAATATTTCATCAACAAACTCGAAAATTGAAGTACTAACGACTAGTGCACAAGAAATGAAAGATGAAGTTAGGAAAGTACGCATGGTGGCTACAGACGTTCTTGTGAGAAAGGAAAAAGAACTGCTGGTTCGCATTGACAAACTCACTGAGTCCCGTGTACAAGAACTGACAGCCTACAGAAAGAGCCAGGATATTGACCTCCAGATGGAACAGCAGCGGTTTGAGTTCACGGACAAAGCTGTGACGTCAAACCGTGTAGCAGATATGTTTGATATGTATGAGTCTGTGGATGGAGCTTCTAGAGATGAAGATGCAAGCGAGGACAGGAGACCACAGACATCCAGCATCATCTTCGCACAGGACACAGAGAAGTTGATGAGATCTGTGGATGATGTGATGCTGGGGGAGATCAAAGTTGTTGGCGGTCTCAGTGACCGGACGTCATCTCCTGTTCTCATGGAAACAATTGATTTTAGTGGAGAGGTGCCTAACGGTTTACGTGACTTCGTAGTATTTGCTGTTAATGGTGTCAGGATAATTATTGTGTTAGATTTTTGCGGTGGTCGACTCTGCATGTACTATGTTCCAAACAAAACATCCTTGAAAAAACATCTCCAACTACCTTGTGGGCCAGCGGGAATAGTTAAGGTGAGTGGAACTAAGGCAGCTGTTACTGTGCCATTCGCACAAGAAATAGCGTTCATCAAGTTTGACCCTGAACCTATATTGCAGTCAAATGTGAAAACAAAGAGGAAGTATGATGGTTTAGCCTTCCTGATCCCTGCACAACTCGTAGCAGGAACATTAGACGATCCTGCCTCTGTTGACATACTGGACATGGGAGGGAATGTACTGAAATCTATCAAGACAGGTGTTATAAACAATCCAGAATACATTCATGTTACGGGGAATAACAACGTGGTAGTCAGTCGAGGGGAAGTAAAATCCCTAGTGTCTGTGACCAGTGACGGACAAGCTGTTTTCACCTTCACACCTGGAGGAGACAGGGCTCTGGAAAGTCCTGGAGGTATCACATCAACCAGCACAGGAGACATCCTGCTTGTAGACTCAGGCTCCATGTTTGCGTACTCAGGCTCCAAGGTGATTCAGCTGACAGAGTCGGGGCAGTTTGTCAGAGACGTTCTCACAGCACAGGATGACCAGTGGAGTCCCATAGGTATCCGTCTGGATGATGACGGCCTGTTGTATGTCGCTTCAGGCCTATGTATGGAAATATTCGGCTTTATATAGTATGTGTGTGTGTGTGTATTAGGTAGATAGTTATGATGGTATGTAGGTAGGTAGGTAGGTAGGTAGATAGATATTCCTCCGATATGTGACTATGTACTGCTTTTTAGATTTAAGATATGTAGTCTTTAAACGTCGATGCGTAAGAATAAATCGTGGCTAAGATCGTTTCGAAATCTGGGCCATGTCAATGAACACACGCATTCAATCGCCCATCTTATCGCCAATCATGAAGTCAACTGTGGTTATCGTGTTACTGGAATGTCCAGAAGACATACCCCAGCCCAGGTTACGACGAAATGTTTAGCTATATGCGCGAAGAAAAGTGTTATCAAAACTATGCATATACAACTTCTGATGTTTCATGTCTTCGGTAGTTCAAATGGCTTTATGTGAGCTTCAAGTCCAAAACATTGATTACACAACAGTCTCGTTTCCTGCTGACTGGGTTCCGTCCTATTGCGCGACTTAGTACAATAACCAGTCCAGAATTTTTAGACCAATTCATTCAACTGGATACATAGATATTAATCAGTATTATTTGATACATCTAAGCACTCGTATATTGCAAGACTACGCTCCTTCTGTCGTACAACGTGCTCTGACAAACGGAAATCTGGAAATCGTGGAAATCTCAAAACGAGACTCTGCCGCTAGAAAAGTTTGGCGGTCTGGTACGGACTTGATATTTTATCAATCAATCACATTGTGCACTTAATAAGCGCAAAGAACACATATCAGATGTAACCAGTGAGCCGGATGACTTGTGAATCATTTTACGACCTCATCAAACAGGGGCAGTCTGTGACGTCTTAGTTAAGGTCATGCTGCCTACACCTCGCCATAATATAGAAATACGATGTTATTAAAGTTTAAAATTAAAATTAACTTGTAAATACCATTTTCTTATGAAACAAGGAATTGAAATTCAGTGTTGTAGGTCATTGTCTGAATAGGTTAATGAGACTCATGTTTCGGTTTGTGTTGTGGGTTCCGGTTGTCCGTTCCTTTTAGTATTTTTTAAATCTCCTTTGAAACTGTAGAAACATAACTTAAGTACATAAATGCTTTACGTGTAGTTTTGTACATCACTTGAGTGATTACAGTGTTAGCATTTACACCAAAAGGTTGCATATAGTGTAATAGGGAAGTTTTATATGCAATGATATGTTCCTCCTTCTGAAATCGAATATGATACATCACATTATTCACAAATTGAATAATGCGGGCAATTTACTGATAAATCCCTGTTTCCTTGGAAGCAGCGAAACTACCCCTAACCCAAGAGGATGTGTATACAAACTGAAATGCACTTGTGGCAGCACCAACATAGGTGAAACAGGCAGGTCTGTATGTACCCGTATGAAACAGCATCGGTAAAGACCTCTGGCATGAAATCAGCCTTATCAGAATAGGTGATCAGAAATCCCAGCCAGACGATCACACTGACGTTTTGGCAGTCAACATAAGCGCTTGGCGGAAGAGAAACTCGATGGAGGCCATCTGGATCCGCCGAGCGAAACCCGAAATTAACAGGGACCAGGCTGTTTCCCTGCCTAATGCTTGGGGCATAGAGAAATAAGCTTCCAATTCACTGTTTCCCATGCTGCTCCAAATTACTGTTACACACTTTGATGTGTGTCTTCCAATTACTGTTTTCACGAGTTGCTTCCAATCAATGTACAAATATATATCCTTTTCGTTGTATAAACACTCTGTACATACCAGTCTCTATACCAATCCGTTGCATAAACATACCACTTAATTCCCTTGATCTCTGTACATGCATGTATATCATATATGTATATACTGAAAAGCAAAAGAAACGTCGTACTATTGGGAATAACATTTAAGTATCAGTGGAGGATTTGAACCTATTTTTAAAAAAATAAACACCAGAAGTCAAATTTTCGGAAAACATTAATCGTGGTTGTATAGCCTGTTTTGCCCAATAAAGTATTGTTTGAGTTTGAGGTTAGAAATGTTTTTGTTTGTGGAAAGGGAAGAGTTCACACAAACACAACATTGAAATCGAGATGCACGTGCATCATGCATGCATTCAGGCATAAATTGCCGGCTTCAATGGCAATCGTTCACTTGGTTTTCTGAAGCTTTTCAGAGGGGACTTTATCTTCTGACGAATTTGTGAAATTAAAAATGTCAATTGTGTATTTTATGTTGTTAGTGTAGCCCAGTCGTGTAAGCCAACGGAATACATTGTGTAGATTTGCAAGACTTCGGTGAACCAGGATCTTATGATGAGTTTGAACCCGGGTTTTGGGTAATTGTTTTCGAGTTTGTCAGGAGCTGTGCATATGGGGTGCATGTGATGTTCACAAAGTGCTTTTCACACACATGTTTTTGTTTGTTTCTAGTTAAACGCCGCACTTGGCAGATATGTGACTGCGGTTTCACACACATGAAACTGCCATGCAATGACTTAATTATGTTCACAGCAACGCCAGATCGATCAGCTGATATGCTTGGTCTCCCAAAGTGACAAGTCTAATTATCCCGTTGCTCATGACATCAACCATTGGTTTGTCCGATACAGATTCGATTACCGACCACTACCATATACGGAGAATATGAAATACGCAGTGAGGTGCTTAGTGCTTCCCTTGACAAGAAATCTTTAAACCTGGTGTTACATCGTAACTGCACCTACTGACTGAAGGTCGGGGTTAGAATTTGTCTTCAGCAACCCATGCTTATCGTATGACACGACTAACGGCGTCGCATGGTCGGACTCCCTGACTTAGTTGCTGTATGTCATCGTATCCCAATTACGTAGAACGATGTTCATGCTGTTGATCACTAGATTGTCAGGTCCAGACCGGATTCTTTCAGAACGCTCTCATGAAGCTGTAAAATTGATGACATTTTAACAACAAACAAATATAATGGCAAGGAAAGCTTATGCACGATACCTGTTGATAGTTGGGTGTGTGTCATAGTATCTCACTGTTTCGTCAAGGCCTGATTGGGTCAATTACAGGGGTCGCCCAATAGCTGAAATCCTGCTGAGTAAGGCAGCAGGCTATTAAGAAGGTTAAACCCAACTCACACCGTAGGAGCGGTGAACGGCAGGAAATATTTCATTGGCAGGAAGTGAACGATTTATCACGCGAGAGGTGAGTAGATTGTATATTTTAGATGTAGGAAAATTGTCAATATCTAAATTTGTATAGGCCACTTTGTCCCCAAAATACATGCTGTAAAATAAAAAACACGTGCGTAATTCCACCAAATATCTTTCCATTCCGTCATTATACAAGCCCATGAGCCTGTAAAACAATGCCTAGCTTCGGCTACGTTTCCGTGAAGATGCATAAACATATCAAAGTTTAAGGTATCATTGCTGTATAAACGAAAAACAAAATACACCAACATTTAGAGTAATTATCGAACTATCTTTGTGCCAAATTTGAATGCTTAGTGTTGTACCGTTTTCGAGCTTTCATCCTCGGAAGACCGACACCATCAAACAGTTGGTGAATGATTTAAGATCACAGACATGAAATCGTTCACATGGATCGTTCACTAAGAGTTTAATATTTCTATGAAATATTTCCTACCTTTCACCGCTCCTACGGTGTGCAACCATTCCAGTGAAGATTTGTTTAAGAATTGTTACCCTGTGTCCTGATTGGTATCGATTTGGTCAAGGCAAGGCGTGGCTCGTGATGACCCACATGCTCTTGTTTTAGCCTTTGTTTGCCGTGTCCAGTCGAGGTTATCTCAACACCCACAGCCATGCTGCTAAAGGTTGTGGACTGTTATTTCAAACGTTGGCTCATCCACATACAGATTCATAGACATGGTTCATATATTCTCGGAAACAACTAGAAAGTGTTTTTATTCGTAAAAACAGATGTCTCACCCTTCCCCCAATTCAACGTTGACACTTCAAACAATTCATTTGATTCCTTCAATTTCAAAATCTCTAAGTATGAAAATACATAGTATTGACAGCCCAAACCCTACCCTTCAAAAAGACCAAGTCCAAATTGTTGCCATGAAAACAGCACAAAATCAAATTGAAAGAAAAGTTCAAACCCCCAAAAGGCTCATCTACATGATATGGAGAGGCAGTATAGCAAATTTGGTGAAGATGGGTCAATTAGTTTAAGAAATTTGCTCCGGAAACGAACTTTACTCTTCAAAAAGACAGAGTCCAAATTGTTGCCATGAAAACAGAAAAGAATAAATTGAAAAACAACAACAAAACCCATCAAACCCCCCAAAGGCACATCTACACTATATAGAGAGGCAGTATACCAAATGTGGTGAAGATTGTTCAAGTAGTTTTAGAGTTCTGTTCCGGAAACAATGGGAACGCCGACGCCGACGGAAACTCAACCAAAAACAATATGGCCCCCGACCCTTCGTGAGGAGACATAATTTATGCAGACCACTAAGGATCAGCTGGTCCGGCTTCCTATCCCGGTCACGATTGCATCATTGCTCATTATAGCAATCACAGGTTTGTAAGGTTCAATAATTATTTCCAAACTGCAATCAGGAAAGTGTTATTAAACATGACCAAATACAACAATGAGAAGTGGAATAGAAGCCAGTGTTTATTTTACTGTTATATACAGTTTGAGCACCAGTAATCAGAAGCTGACATTGCATTGGTTGTCAAGGCAGTGAAAGCAAGTCCAACACAACACACGACACGTGACAGGTCACGTGACAACATGGAATGATATGAAGTACACAACACTTTGAATTCACATGAGCAAGTTAAAAACATCATTGACAAAAACACAGTTCAGGTTGAAAAAATCTAAATATAATATTTACTAAAAATAATGTTAAATGAAATTATAGTAAAATGACAATTGTGCCAGTATGCCCGTAACCTTCGGATGCATTAAAACAATGATATTATGTTGAAACAGATTTCTGAAGATTCTTCATGAATGAATTTAAGACTTCAAGGAACCAGTTCTGCTTCATGACATGACACGCAAATACTTCATTCGCCTTGCTACAGAACTACCATTCTGTCATGTGTCCGATGAAGGAATGGTTAGGCCAAAGCCATGGCCAGTTTTAATTCCTGTATCATTTGCTAAAGCTCCATCAACAATTACCTAAAAGACACCCATGGATACCAACAGATATCACTTAATTGATAGGAAATAGTGACATAGAATTTTTATCTATTTTAAACATACCAGAATGATCAAAACAGTGTCTCATTTTCATATCCTATTTTAACAGTTCACAGCGATAAAATCAGTCTCTCATTTTGATCTCTTATTTCCACCATCGCAGAATGATATAGCAGGCTCTCGTTTTGATCTCCCAGTTAAACATGCCGGAATGATCAAATCAGTTTCTCATTTCTTACTTGCGGCTCTGTGAAAGGTTCAAATGTAAACAAAGTAAAAAATATAAATGGATTTCTAGTAGCAATCTCTACAGAAACAGGAAGTGCAATTGCTGTCACAAAACTATATATATGATATGAATGACAAAATCAAGGATTATTTGGCACAATATGTAGAATCATTAAAATCGCACGAACTACACAAATACAATACACTCTACTGTCGTATCAATCCACGTACATGATAGTTTGCTAAACGTTACAGAAATAGAAGTTTTAAAAGGATTGCACAATGAAAATGGACAATCGAATGGGAGATAAATATGTATATTTTAGCTAACGAAGTCGTTCAAGGATTTATCTCCCTTTGATGCCGGGTTAACGATTTGCCAGCATTATTTGGTTTTGAATTTTGCATCATTTACTTTCAAGTAAATATATATGAACTGCTAAACTAGCGAAGTAAGACAATACAAATGACATAAAATCACAGATAAAATAGCACTATTTTGATTTTAAAAAATTATACCTTCTGCCATTTTGAAGCTAAAAATCAATTACTTTTAATTCAATAATTGCCTGTCACCTTATCACAAAATTAAAATACATAAAACTCTATATATGTTAATGCCATCTTTTCTGAATAACCGTAATTTGAATCACATTTCAATATTATGTTCCAGAGCAATTATTATACATCATAAAAATCACATAAGCGAACTATTGTTCTATTAATGGGAGAAGGTATACCACACTGTCTGCCATGCTCCTCATCAAATAGCTGACATCAAATCGATGTTACATAGAAACCCTATTAATCAAGACAATAAGTGTTCGGATTTTAAAATTTCTTGATTTTGCAGTGACTGGATTAAAGCAAGCTCCCTTTGAGTGTATGAAAATGGCCTTAACCTGAATTGCCCGTAATGAGGGGTTTCCAGAATAATGTGGTTTTATAGCAGGAAGATTTAATAAGGTCAATGACAAGACAAATCAAGTTCATTATCGACAATGTTTACACACAGAATTCATTCTCAGCAATTTACGTAACAGAAACAATTATAACGGTCGTATCAATAATCTTGGACTCATGACAATACTGATCTAACGATAACAAACAGTTATGACTGTGATTTACTGTAAAATAGGTCTGATTGAACAGGATTATTCGGTCAAGTACTAGTGTCTAGGTTATGATACTCTTGTCAAAGAGATTACGGAGAACGTGTTTATTAAAATTCATGTTTGCTCGGTTAAACGGGTTTCAGATTAACGAGGGTTTGCTGTTAGCAAGTCTTTGGATACCGCGATGGTAACGTATGTTAAACTTATTAATCGCATTCAAACGAAATATTAACAGATTATATGAAAATACGGGTACATACACATGTATATAACATCATACATCTCGTATTACAAGATAGAGATTTCTTCCAACTGCCTATACTCAAGGCCTGAGATCCATTCCTCGGTTAGAATAACTAATATGTTTAAGGATGAGACACGGTTTAAACTTCATAAATGACATATCGATAAGTCATGGACATAATTCACCAAATACATGTATGTTGGTAAATAAAGCAAAACATAATACAATAAAATAAACAAAGTCATTTTGGTCTTAATCTCCAGTAAGATCTTACGCTGCCAAATATACAAATTTGCGATTCACAGGAAACGGCACATTGGATAAATATTTCCACCCTGGAGTATTACGTCTGTTTCGGATAAATTGGTCAGCTTTAAATTACACGTCACATACTAGTTTTTTTCTTGACTACAATAGTTTCAGTGTTGTTTTGGTGAACAGTTTCGGATGTGTCCTTAACAAAATACCTCTGAGATCGTCACAGTGTAGTTCGCGAATAATAGCCTTTTGTGCCTTATCTCGAGAAACAGTTGGTTTTACTTCGCCGAGACGTTTGGGGACATTTACATAATGGTGGTTCACTTGAAAATTTAGTAGTCCATAAATAGAATAATGACACAGAGATGTGGACCTATTAAAACACATGGAACAAAATACATTTCTAATCAAACTTAATTCAAGTATGTAAAAGCATAATTATGTCCTTTGATGTCGAAAGTTTATGCGAATTTTGGGATTCATTGTCCCGTTTGTTTACTGAGTCATTACCATTTCCAAATTTTTCTGTCGCCTTCAAAATATTCCTTAAACAGTACTTCAGTTTACTCACGACATATCTGCTCAATTTGGGAGAAAAACCCCGAAGGAATACATAGTTCAGACGTTTACCACTGTGGCGTAGTCTGTGGGTATATGGTACAGTCAAACCTAAAAACCGGATTCGAACCCTCAGTCAGAGCAAATTGAAACACCATCTACAATCGGATCACCAGTGGCCCAAGAAATTTCTGAAATATTTCATTATGATAATGATTATGACAATCTGAGCCAATTTTAGATTTGAATCCATGATTGTTGAATATTAACACACCTCATGGAAGCGACTTGCATATTTCTATTAATCTGAGACAAATACATACATCATGAAACGCATGAATTATTAATAATTGTTTACAAACCAATATACGTTGCTGCGAATGAGACAAGAACGTTTCCCTCAAAAGAGGTGCTTATTGCGAAAATACAAACCTACTTTGTAAACGAGACAAAAAATGACCTCAAAAACATTCATAGTCCTGCTTGATAGAAAGGGCCCACCGATTCGTATAAGCAACAAACAACCTTTGAATAAACAATTGCAATGACTACTTCTAAAGAGAAGCATTGAACAGGGTTTGAAATGTTTATGAGAAATTTATACTGAGCACGCACAGACGAAGAGCGATGATTTTGGCATCTTGCATAGCTGCATTCTATATAAAATATATAAACTATGCTTCGGTAATAGCTGCGCTTTGTTTATGCATATACTTATAGGAATCTTGAGATATACATGATATGTCATACATTGATATGATCGCAAGTAGTGGTTGAACGCAAGCGCTGGTCATAGTTCGTGTTCTGGCATCGTCCATATACCTCACGTCTTTCCGGAACTGTCCAATATTTTTCGAAGGTGATGTAAAAATGTTCGTGGTGCGATATAGAGTCATATTTTGTTTTCGGGTATTGTCGTTGCAGCTTGTGTCTTCTCCGGAAATGTTCGTGAGGCGATGACATGTATCAGATGAATCTTCAGGCTGAAATTGGATGGTGGTACTTTGGTTGATAGGGTGTGGCGTTTTGGTTGAAAGCACATGCGAGGCGAAGATCAGGATACATTTGGTAGGGCGGCGGGGAAGGGAAGTTGAAATACTGCCCGAATGTGTATGGAGAAAATTGGTCATATCTTGGCGTCTGGGACGCTTCAAACTCGCCGCCATTGACAAGATCAGGGTCGAATGGGGCGGAAGGCTCGGCACGATCTGAGAAGTGTCGTGGCGTGATGAATGCCCTGCACATGTCGTTGCAGACATGATTTCCAAACACCATCTTGATTCCCTTTTCTCCCAGATCCCATCCACCATATTCTTTGGTAACCGAATGGATGGTCGGAGTCTTCAGATACGTCTTCCCCCCTTCGGAGCTCCCTTCCAATCCGCAGACGACAAGTTTCCCGCCAGAATGGTGGTACGTGAAGTGAACAAATGCTTCGAGAATTTTGGTAGCAGTTGTCGGGTTGGCTTTTCCGGAATGGCTAACGAAGTTTTGAAAGTTCTTGCCAATTTTCTCCTCGATTAAAACCCATTCCTGCTTACAGAGCTTCCTGCCGCTGGACAAGGCGTTCTTCATAAGACATACATCATCCATGCAGGCTTTCAGGAGACTAGTAAAGTGAATTGGGGATTCAGGTGAGATCACGCCTGTAAATGGCACGGCAAACGATTGCGCTGTTTTGGATTTCTTGATTTCTGTATTGCACATTGTTTCCGTCCCGGCTTCGTCCCGAAAGATTTTTATGACGGTGTGGTCCCCACTCCGAGGTCCTTTGCCGTTCAGAAGGCCAACGTATGCCTTCAGACGTTGACCTTTGGCGAATGACGTCAGGTCGAAGCTGGACCAATAACAGCAGCCGTTCTCATCCGGGCTAGATGACAGCGTGGTATTGGCAAACATGGCGTATCCTTGTGGACAGCTCACGTCAGTCAGGCGAGAAGTGCAACTCATTAAAGTCCTCAACTGCAACGAAAGAAACAAAAATTAATAAAAGGAAGAAATGAGATAAGAACAATGATTAGAACAAATAAAATTCATCTCTACAAAGTAAGGCAAAGCAGTACGTTCTCATTTAGTCTGTCATACAGACCCTGAAGCAAATAAATCCAAGTCTAGAAAATGTGGCAAGTCTACATTTCCACAGCTTCAGGGTCTCTGAAAATGAAGAAAGTCACCGGGCTCCTTTTTATTGTATTTATAATTATAATTTATAAACTTTTATTTACTGTAAAATATGTTCATTTCAGAGACTAGCTGTTAGACTAGTTCTCTTTAGGAAACGAAGTTTATCCATGAAGTGTGGTTCATTTATAATTTGACCGAGTTTCAGAAAAAAATATTTTCTTTTTAATTCTGATTCAGATAGGTTATAATTTTTTTGCTCTTCTGAAAAACGGAAATATTGTGTATCATTGTGATCTTCTGACACAGCCGTATGAGTTAGTGTAATAAATACAAAATATTATAATCAATATATATATTTTTAGTTACATCTCATAAGATGGGACAATAAGAATGGAAGACCAACCATTCATATATCCCACAGTCAAACAAATAAACTGTTTATTTGATCGAAAATTAGAAGTCGGTAAACAAGGAAGTCTGGATGTCTGTAGAAAACTAACGACGATGTTGTCAGCTACAAGGAGTCGTATCTCACAAAGAAACTTCTTTTGAAATCATTTTAACAGCAGGAAGTTTGACAACGTTACGAGGAAATACATCAAACTGCATTAGAATCTACCTCCACGTCGGTCTGTCTAGGCGGAGGGAAAATAAGGATGTTACTGAGACTAGTGACCATCTCAAACCAAGACACAGATATCTGTATAAACATGACCACCTATCAAAGGACTTGGACAAACTTTCTCTTTCCTTGTATGAAAACCAGACACTGATTGGGGTCAGGGTCAGGGTCGGAGCTGGTTGGGTACGTGAGTGAATGTTGTTTATCACGGCAGTGAGCGACATTACTGCTATATCGACGGCCAGTTTAAGTTGAATGGAGACAGGGAAGCTTAGTTACTGAATGTCTCAGCAACGAGCCACTCTGTCCGGACACGGCGACACTCTCTCTAACCCTCCTATTCTCGTTTACGTCGACGAATACGGTAAACATGGGATACCCGTGGTCTATCTGCATCCAGAATCCATTTGTTTGGGGCTTTTTAAAACAATTACGCTGAAGCTGATCCGTTAATCTCCAACACAAAGTGACCGCCTCCGTGGTGTAGTGGTTAGAGCGTCCGCCCGGAGAGCGGCAGGTCGCGGGTTCGATCCCCGACCGCGTCATACCAAAAGACGTTAAAATATGGTCCTTGTTGGTCCCTGCCTGGCGCTCGGCATTAATGGGTACAACAAGGACTGGTCGGCTCGGAGTCAGTATAATGTGTCTGAGTGGGGTATCCATGCTTCACTGCGGCATGGTATCTCAGTGGGCTAGCACTATAAAACCAGCTTAAGTCTGGGCTAGTACAAGCAGCCGCACATACACACGCATGCACGTCGTCATATGAGCGAAATATGCTCAAGCACGACGTTAAATCCAATTTCACCTCCAACACAAAGTAGGTCCTGTACAAATCGGGGAAAGAATCAAGTTCCGAGTTACCTCCCTTCCTTTATCGACGGGGATCTGTAGCGAGTTGTTAGTAATTATTTGTTTTGAAAACGTAAATAATTAATTTCAACAAGTTATAACCAGAATATTTTAAGTTATTTATCAATGTTTTCTATAAACAGTAATAAAGTCTTTTAAAAATGTTTTACGTGTTCATGGTCGACGGAATACTCCCTCCCCTCAACACACAAAACAAAAATGCTTGTCACACTTAGGAAAATGTCTGGTCTAACGAATTAGTTGTAATGTTAAGATCTCTCTGTGGATACAGTCCCTTGATCTGAACAAATATGCTCCAATACTTGTGAGGTAAGGTGGGGTGAAATGGGGTTTAACTGACTGACTGACTGAGTTTGGTTTTACGCCGCTTTTAGCAATATTCCAGCAACATCACGGCGGGGGACACCAGAAATGGGCTTCACACATTGTACCCACGTGGGGATTCGAACCCGGGTCTTCGGGGTGACGAGCCAACGCTTTAACCATCAGGCTACCCCACCGCCCCCTGGGGTTTAACGTCGCCCTTAAGATTATTTCGCTCATATGACAACGTGCATGATTGTGTATGTGTGGCTGCTTGTACTGGCCCACACTTAAGCTGGTTTTATAGTGCTAGCTCACTGAGATACCATGCCGCAGTTAAGCATTATACTGACTCCGAGCCGACCAGTCCTTGTTCTACCCATTAATGCCGAGCGCCAGGCAGGGATCAACACAGTACCATATTTTAGCGTCTTTTTTGTCTGACGCGGCCGGGGATCGAACCCGAGACCTTCCGCTCTCCTCCAATACTTGTGTACAGAACCAGATGGATGTTTAAATAAATTAAGCCCCACCTCAGTGAGTCGTATAAAAGCTGGAATATTTACGCACATGTGAATGCAGGGTGGATACCAGCAACGTAAATTGTTATTTTGCTTACAAGATTATTTCGACAGCAACTCACAGTGTAGAGTTACGGGCCTTTGGTATGCCAGAATCAGATGATCATGGTTTTGAGTGAGTGAGGCTTTTTAAAGCAATATTCCAGCAATATCACGACGGGAGACACCAGATATTGGTTTCACAAATTGTACCCATATGGGGAACGAACCCGGGTTTTCGGCGTGACGAGCGAATGCTTTAACCTCTAGGCTACCCCACCGCCCCGACATGGTTTTGAATTCGTTCTGGTTATGGTTGTTGGCTTGGTAACTCTATTCCCTGATCGTGAGCTTCACGAAAGTAGCAAACCTCTAAGAACCGCCATATACCTGGAATATTGAGTGCGGCGTAAAACTAAACTCACTCACTAAAACTCTAAATATAAGGGACTTATACGGCTTATTACGCGGCTCCGATCTTCCCACCTCAAACCGTCGCTAACTAAATATTGTTCAAAGAGGGGTTAAATCCAACTCACTCACTCGCGATAGCTAGTATTAGCTACATAATGGGACTCCCTATACTGCCGTGGAGTTACTTTTGAACATCTGCATGTATAAATCAGATGTGTCACACCAATAACAGCTGTCTCGAGCGGTTGCGCCCTTGTGTCAAAATCGCAATCCCTTTGTTAAATTCTCACGAGATTCAAGTAATCCAGGGTTTGATAAATATTATTTCAATCATTCGCGTTCGGGAAATACCCAAGTTTACGTATTTAAAAGAATGCAGTCGACCTCAAGGTGAACATTTTAGCCTGCGAGGGAAGACAAATTGTCGAACATTCCAAACTGTCAAGTGAAGTCGATACCCTAGGATACTGTACCCTGTTTTCCTCAATCTACCCGACTCTTCCCGGGGATCCGGGTAGGAGGCTGGTCGAGGTTAATCTGCAGGTGCATATCGACGCTGGTGGGGTGTGTCAGGTTAGGGCATGTCAAGGGTTGGCTGGAGGATTCGTCTAAAAGGAGACTGGCTGAATCGTTATCAATGAAATACAGCTCGACAAAATGACAAATAATACTGACGTTGCGTGGTGCAATCGTGGGGTTGCTGAGTGGGGAGATGAGCGCGGGAGGCCTCGTGGGGTACCGTTTTGAGGGGTGGGAGTGGGGGTGGTGTGTAAACACAGACGTCTGACCTGTTGGTGCTCTGCGTTGCAGATTACGCAAGCCTCTGTGACTCGATCCGCGTGTGGCGGCAAACTTTGAAATGATATAGGGTAAAATAACACGTGTTTAGTGATGACGAGCTCTAAGTTAGGTTGGAGTTCAACAGACATGGTAGACTAACGCTTAGTCTCTGAATATATATAGTTTCGATAGAAACAAACAATTCCTTTAATACTTAAAAGGAGACCCGGTGAGACGGGAGAACCTCAGGCTTCATTTAAGGTTCATTTAGGGTTTTAGGATTGATCTTATGTAACCCATGCTTGTCGTAAGAGGCGACTAACGGGATCGGGTGGTCTGGCTCGCTGACTTGGTTGACACATGTCATCGTATCCGAATTGCGTAGATTGATGCTCATGCTTTTGATCACTGGATTGTCTGGTCCAGCCTCCATTATCTAGACCACCGCCAAATAGCTGGAATATTTATGAATGCGGCGTAAAACTAAACTCACTCACTTAAGCATTGTAGAAAAATTAAGGTTCTCGGCAGAAGGGAAAATGATGCGGTTCAGGGACAGTGAGACAGACAACGGTCATGTCCCCTTCCGTAGAGACCTATCTGTAATACAAAAGCCGTACATGAAGCAAGTGTAGATATTCCGTTATCTCCCTTTCACTTAATCTCCTTTAAAATCGAGTACAAGCAGCCACACATACACGTTGTCATATGAGCGAAATATTGTTAAGTACGACGTTAAACCCCATTTCACCTCACCTCACCTCACCTCACCTTTTAAATCAAAATGAAGTTATTTTTTAAAACGTCAGTCTACAATAACAGCAGACCGCGGCCAGATAACTGAAACATTGTTGAACTTCGAGTTCGATAACAACAAAGAAACAAAATAACAAAAAATGATTTAAAAAAAAATAATGATTAGATTCAAACAGAAGAAAAGTAAACGGGGCGGTGGGGTAGCCTAATGGTTAAATCTTCCTCTTGTCACGCTGATGACCCGGGTTCGATTTCCCACAGGGGTACAATGTGTGAAGCCCATTTCTGGTGTTCCCCGGGGTGATATTGCTGGAATAGTGCTGAAAGCGGCGTCAAACTTGACTCACTCACTCACTCTGTTAAACATTCAGACCAGGTAGGGAATCGAACCCAGGACTGGTGTGCCGCCGCGAACGCTTTAGCTACAAGGCTACCAAACAAAGTTAGTAAAACAACGCATCGGTACATGTATCTCGCCGATTCTTTGTTTGTTTAACATTACAAGAGTCTCTTCTTTCACTGTTTCTATG